TTATCTTACCATTCTTATTCTCGCTATCTCCCTCTTCTTTACTATATATATCTTATTCTAGGCCTTATATAGTCCTTCGCAAACCGGGTATTTGCGAATATCGGCCGTGCAATCTTTATAATAATGCTCCCCTAAGCATTTCCCATATACTAAGTAATTCTTTTTAGAGTATATAGTCGATAGATAACCGTATTTCCAGTATACAAAGTATTATTTCGATTTATACTGCTTGTTATAGACGTAATAGCTATGTAATTCTAAATCAATAATTAGACCTTCTTTTAGTACTTTATTTCCTTTCTCTGAGAATACTAATTCGATAATTAATAAACTCTTATTATAACCCTCTTTATTCGCGCCGAACTAGCCTAGTTACACTATGTCGAGACTTAGCGTATTAGCGTTCTCGTTCTAAATCCTTTTAATTACCGTAGCTATATCTTTGATATCAAATATATTAATCCTCACTCTATAAAGTAGAAGACTATATATTTTAATAATTACTCTCACACTATCACTTATCTTTAGAGTTTAATCCTTACTTTTTCTTAGTCTATTCGCCTTCTCCTCATTTATAGCTATAATATATATATCGCTACTTACTAGCCTTCTAGCCGTTCTAATAGATTTTCTTATAATATTTATACTCTTTATATATTCATTAACCATCGTAATTATCTCGCTCGATATCTTCCCCTCTAATACTTTACTTATTATCTCATCTTATAGCTTTATAATAATCTCGTTTAGCTTATTATATAATACTTAGCCTTATTTTAATATTACTAGTAATATAATGAAAATTCCTTCGGTAGTAAAGAAGGATATTAAGGACCGGCCTAGTACGCTAACATAGCTGGCCGTCGATATATTACTTTTTAGACTAGTTACCTAATACTTAATATACGTAATCTTTTCCTTTATATTACTATCTCGATTACTTAAATTAATAGCTAGTTTACGTACTTCGTTTAAGATTATCTAAATTTTAAGTTTATCATTCGCTCTTTCTTTAAAAACTACCGCCGCCCTAAAAGCAGCAGCTTCTTCTTTTTTTTTTTTTTTTTTTTTTTTTTTTTTTTTTTTTTTTTTATTTTTTTTTAAAAAAAATAAAAAAAAATTCTTCCCTTTATAAAATTTTTATTTAAAAAAAAAAAAAAAAAAAAAAATTTTTTTAAAAAATAATTAAAAAATTAAAAACCCCCCCAAAAAACAAAAAAAAAAAAAATTTAAAAAAAAAAAAATTTAAAATTATTATTTTTTTTTATTAAAAAAAAAAAAAAAAAAAAAAGTTTTGCGAAAGGTAAGGATTTGGGGGGTCAACATCTGATGCGAACCGAGGTTGGAGCTAAAACTTTTGGGGGGGGGGGCAAAAAAAAACCCTAACCGCCGCCGCCGGCGAGGGGGAGAAGAAGGGGGGGGGGGGAAATATTTTTCTCCCACAAAAAAAGGTACCTATACAGAATTGATACGTGCAACTAAGATGAATCTAGATTTAGAGCCAGCGCTACAGGACGCTAGATGATACTTTAATTCAGTCAACTTTGACCCTGACAGATGGCTTTCTCTACACTCCAGGCTCCAGGTTCCTGCTGGTTGCAGATGGACTGGTCACGTGCTATCATATAGTATTGGAGGATTTATTAACAGCCTCAATTGGCTACCTTACCTTACTTCCCCTTAAGCAAACACCTACTTATCTATCCGAAGCTAGGTACCTTATCAACTACGCCGTCGGCACGTCTTGACAAGACTGAGCCTTGCGGCAACAGCACCAAAGCCGGCTGAACTGAGCTGGGTCAGGCTTGATTTGCTACGAGAAGTCAGTGCTGAGACGAATGCATAGAAATAAAAAAGGGATTGCCATTTGCCACAACTTTCATTCGAGCGCAGTCAGCTCCTGCTGAAACCTCACCTCAGGAGGATGACTCCCGCCAGCTACCTGCCTCTGCATAGCCACGTGAGATTAATGAGCTGAGCAATCCAACATCCGCATCCTTCAAACCCTCCTAAAAATAAAGCACACAAATATCATTGATCCTCGCGCATTTTCGCCAATTGTTGCATATATTCGATTTCCATCACGACACCACACTAGACCACACCGCACCACCAACAATGTCTCAGAACCCATCATCCGACGAAACCACCCCCCTTCTCCGCAAAGGCGAATACCGCCCCCCCTCCTCCACCGACATCCGCGGTCCCTGCCCCATCATCAACACCCTCGCCAACCACGGCTACATCGCGCGCGACGGCCGCAACGTCCGCGCCGCCGAAATGAAAGCCGCCATGAAACACCTCGGCGTCAGCATCACCCTCCGCCAACTCCTCACCTCCGCCGTCTACCTCGAACACCAAAACGACCCCCCGACCGGCTTCTGGGCCTTCGTCCGCAATCCATTCGTGTACGTATTCCGGACTTTCGCCCTGCGCGCCAAGGGCCAAATCGACGCAAGCGGCGTTCCGTGCCTGAACCTCGACGAGTTGGACCGCCACGGCGCCGTCGAGCACGACGTCTCCATGTCCCGGCGCGACTTCGCCCAGGGCGACAACCACTCCAAGCAGGACGATCTCGTCGACGACATGCTGGCCTCGGCGCGCGACGGCAAGGACCTCACCGTCAACGACTGGGCCACCTTCCGCGTCCGCCGCATCGAGCAGCAGAGGCGCGACAACCCCAAGCTCAACTTCGGCTCCCTGCAGGATACGATGGGGCTCGCGGAGACGGCGTTCCTGCAGACGACGTTCGGCGACCGCGCCAGGGGGTGGGACGTCCCCGTGTCGTACATGGCGGCTGTCTTCGGCGAAGAGCGGTTGCCGGTCCGGGAAGGGTGGAGGAAGCGGTCGTGGTGGACGGTCGGGGTTGTTGAGTTGACGGCGCAGGCGCAGGCGCTGAAGAAGGTGGTCGGACGCGTTGCGTCGAAGGCGTCGTCTTGATGGATGCGATGATCTGTCGGTTTGTTGGGATGGGTTTGCACAGTCGGGTTGGGTGTTTATAAAGTAGATATGTTCTGTTTCCACTATCTGCTCTGAAAGAAATTTGGGATGGGTGAGCTTGGCGTTGGGGAGCTATAAATTATATACAAGGTCTATGTCTTCTTCTTTTTTTCTTTCTTTTCTTAGGAAGCATGCCATCGGGAGCGATCATTCATCTTCATCTTGAACTCTACCAGTGACAGTGTCAATTCCACTCCATCCCAAGCCTTAGCCTCAGCATCATCTCCGCATCATTACCTTATTGAGATGTGCGTAGCGTCGTCGATCCCCAAGGTAAGAGACTCACAAGTTCGCTACCAAGCGTCTGAATCGTAAGTGATTGTTTCGACCGCTACCGCCGAGGCTCTCGAGCGGGATTTGAAAGCGGCAGGGACACAGGTGGTCTTTGTTGTCATGGCGCGAATCTCACGGACGGAGATGTTTTCTTCGGAGGAGGTTTGTATAAACTTCTTCTATTTACTTTAATCCTAGAATACCCCATCCCATCCCACTCCAGCAGCGCCAGCATTATCCCCTTCCTCGCCCTAACCGATCACCATCTCCACCGCCAACCCCCTCAAGCACACCCATCACACATGTCATCCAAGTCCTCATAAACAACCACATGGCACTGCGCCAACCCATTGTCCCTCAGCGCCGGCATCCCCGCATGCTCATCGCACAACCACTCGCACTCGCCCTCCGCCTCCGCCTTCCCCCGCAGCACCGGGCCCTGGCCCCCCATCGGGTCCAGGTGCCGCGACTGCCCGTTGAACCGCAGGACGTCCGGGCCCGGCAGGCGCCACCGCCGCCAGTCGTCCGCCGTGCGGCTCGGCTCGTAGCACAGCGTGTCGCTGGCGGAACCCGTGGGGACGCCGTGGTACCAGGTGCGGCAGAGGGGGCCGGCCCAGTCGACCCCGTTGCCCAGCGTGATGCGGTCGCCGGGCCGCGGCGCCAGGCACGTCGCCGCCGCGTCCGCGTCCGCGAGGCAGAGGTCCGAGAGGATGAAGGTCCGGTTGCGGTGCTGGTTGTAGTATTCGAACTGGAAGTAGTGCGCTTCGCTGTAGTGTTGCGGGATCGGGAGCGCGGCGGCGCAGAAGCAGAAGGTGCTGGTGAGGTAGTCGCCCGCGTGCGCGGAGGTGGCGCCGGTGAAGCCGGGGAGGGTGCCGGCTTCCACTTCGGAGGGGGTGGCGGCGTGGGTGGCGGCGAGGAGGGTGAGGGCTAAGGCGATGGTGAGGAGGGAAGGCATTTGTGGGTTTTTGATGCGGGTGTTCGAATGGGTTTTGTGTGGTGGAGGTTTGGTAGATGGAGATGTAGGTTGGAGGGAATTCCTCTTATGTTAAGGAATTTTGGGGTTAGAATTTTCTGTTGCCTTCTCGGGGGTTTTTTTGCGATTTTCGGTCATACTCACGGTTGATTTGAGTCGGTTTTGATGAGCTTGGCGGTCCCGACAAGAGCCGTGAGGGAATATGAGCCTCCAATGTCTTGGCCCAGCCCAGCATCGCCATGTCTCCACGGAAGACAAGGTAAGTCAGATGCGAAACGTGCCCTTGTTATGAACCCATCGTACGCTGAGTCATCGAATGATACCCAAGGCAAGAAGTCATCACTCCGATTTCTGTCAACGCCGCTTCAAGATGCTACAGTGGCTAGTGCAGTGACAGAACGAGATCTGACTCCTGTCCCGATCCAAGCGGCTACGCACACTTGGAAAGAGGATGTCTGTTTCGCATCTATCGGTACTATTCTCACATCACCATCTTCTCGACGTAAAGTACTATTTAGGAATGCTCAGCTGATCGAAGGAAAAGGGTCAAGATTTCGTAGAAGAGTCTACTTACCCCTTCCACATCTGTATCGACCATTTAGGCTCCAGAGTCATCTCAGACGTCTCGCGCGATAATACGGTCGCCGTAATGGAAACATCGAGTGTTGTCTCGGGCCTGAGGGGACATTGGGAACGTCGCTCTTCTCCTTTCATAAGCGATCTGACATACCCCACCGTTTCTTTGAACCACGCCGCGAAGGGTTTCTTCGAAGAGACGGATCGTCTCTTTCGCCATCAAAGTGGTCGGAATTAATCACCGAAGAGGGATCTTCCCATGATAGCATCGATAGTCAGAGAGACCGTAACGGCGGAGAGTAGACGAGCAAAAGGTAACAGCAAAGCTTGCTGTTTCCGATGTAGAGATGCACCCGTCCAGTGTCAGCTCGTTTCGCTCGCCTGCTTTCGTAATCATGGACAAATTGCATCTCCGAGCGGACACGGCAAAGCTCGCAGCGGGACCTGTTGAATTCTTTGTTGATCTCTTCCATAGGCCTGGTTTTGGTCTCGAAGCGATGTTTCACCAGAGTAATGCTACTCGCAGCATGTAGATTTCTTAGGGCATCGTTGGTAAGGCAAGTGGTCAGCTCTGCAGCTTCAGAAGTTATGCTGTGGGCTTCTCATGACAGGAAAGATATTTTATGAAAGGAGGGAAAGAGTCTGGTCGCTTCAATCATGGTTGAAACTACCGCATGGAATCTGCACAAGAAGAGTAATGCACGTAGCGCTCTCGTAGCACCCTTTGTGTCAACTAGAGAATACCTAGCAAAAAAGCTCCCAAATGCCGTTTGACTTCGCAACTTTGAATGAAAGACACAAGTCATTTAATTTTCTTCGTGGTCCTTATACTAACCCTTGCACCTGAGGGACTGAGCATCATTGTTTTCAGTATCCGCCTCAGTTGGAACCAGCTGATTTGGAATTTGAAAACGCTTCCACGGCTCCTGTGTCCCAGACGATGCGTCTGTCCGGTCCTTGTTCTGCGATACAACTATCGCCGACTCTGATAATTGGAGTGACCGTGTCTGATCCTTGGGACGAAAATCGTCTTGTACAATACTGACGTGGGATCGAATACGAGCGTAGGCGACGAATGGTCTGGATAGGATACTACCCGCATGCTTGTCGCTGAGCTCTGGCAGGCCAAACTGTTTGCTGATTTATATCCAAGAAGTGGCCAACCTTTCACTCTGTGCAACCCGCTCTAGATCAACACCAAGGTCGCGTAGGTGATCCAGATCACCTCTGGAAAGTCCTTCATTATTCGCGGACCGTGTCTCAACTCGTTGGTCGCCATCGTAATCTTCAATTCAACCATGTACGCAATTGCTACCTCCCCAGGCGCTCCTTTGACCCAAGCCAGGACTTCTGCTAGACGATGCAGAAAGCGTTTCCTTAGCTTTGACTGAGTTGGTTGGAGTCTCTCTTGGTTCTGGTTATCACGTACGTGAGAGTCCCATGGCGCTAGGTCCTCATCACTGGTATCATGTTGTTCATTTTTTGCATTCACGTCCTGTTCATGATAACTCTCATCCTCCGTATCTTATCTCAATTACCTGCATAGCAGTTGTAAGAGACAAGCAGCATCCACGAAGTGCTGGCGAGACCCGCATATACCAGCCCGGTCCGGGATGCAAGGCTTGTCTGCTGGCGGCGGTGCTTGCCTATGCTAGCTGCTGTGCCTGTCGGCTTGATCGTTATTCGGGCCTTTGCGGCGAGCTTTTCTGCCGTGTTTTGGCGCAGCTGTAGCTTCTGATTTAGGATAATTCTAGGCTTCGTTGATCTTGTGCGGTTCGCATTGCGGAACAGAATAGAAACCTCAGCTATGCACGTGGTCAGCGTCCGATCAGGTGGGGTCTAGCCTGGGAACGTACCTCATGCACGTATCCGAAAGACTCTTGGTAGCCATCCTCGCGACATGTGTAGCGAAACAATCACGTATGACGAGGTAGGAAAAGATGTGATTCGAATCGTGTAATGTCTAGTCTATTTAATCTATTTCTATGAATATAAATATAATTATGCCACCTCGTCGTTCAAGCCTTCGCCTCGTGAAGTCTCGCCAGGCTCTTGGCAGTATCGCTGATGGTCTGATCGAGCGGGGTGAAGTGCATGCCCAAATCCGTCCTTGCGTGTTCGTTGTTGACCTTGAATGTCTCTACCTTTTCTGTCAACGAAGGTTCTGGCACCTTCGAGGCGTAGGAAGGCAAGGCCTTCCTGATGATCTCGCAGACGTCTGGATATTGGAAGTTGCCGGTTGTGATGAAATAGCGGCTACCCTGTGGGTTCTCATAGGCCTTGACGTGGGCCTCTCCGACGTCACGAACGTCCGCGAAGGCAGGGAAGGCTGTAGGTCCGGGCTCTTTCTGACTGCCATTCATCATCCGGTAGATATCCGCACTGCTTGTGTTCAAGTGATCCAGACTCGCATCATGGTCAAGGGGACCATAGATCATAGGTGGGCAGATGGTCGCAACATCAAAGTTGGGCTTCTTGTCCTTGACGAAATCCCAGGCAGCCTTCTCCGCAAAAGTCTTGCTCGCGCAGTATGCCGTTGAGCCATCTCCACTCTTTGCCTGTTCGTATGTGACTGGGTTCCAGTCTTTTTCGCTGTAGGTATAACCTGGCCGAGCGCCTTGGGTTGGGTCGACGATGGCCGCAAAGGAGGAGGTAATGACGATACGCTTGACTTGGGGTGCGTACTTCTCGACGGCTTGTAGTATTGATGTTGTGCCCTTGATGGCAGGGTCGAGGAGATCGCGCTCATTATCCTCGACTTGCATGACGAAGGGGGATGCGGTGTGAATGACGCCATCAACGCCTTTAACGGCTTCGTCAAAGGCTCCGGGGGCGGCGACGTCGTGTACGATTGAGAAGGTGAGGCGGCTGTCGACGCCATTTAGAAGGTGGGAGTGTGTCTTGCGGACCTTGTCGGCAGTGGCCTCGCTACGAACAGTGCCACGGACTTTATAGCCATGTTGCAGGAGGCTGTTGAGGACGTGGGCGGCAACGAAACCCGAGGCACCAGTGAGGAGGATGAGTTGGGAGCTCTTGGTCCTGGTGGAGCCGGTAAGCTGGCCGACGGTCTCTGAGACTTGGTTGATAATAGAAGACATACTTATTGGTGAGTATTATGGGTATAGGGTTGTGGTCGCGGTGTTGGAAGCTGGTTTGTATGAAGTGCAACTGCTCCCAATCGTATATACCTTTGGGTGCTTTGATCATAGGAACTTTTTCTAGACTAAGACTGATGTCATTGTCTTCGGATGACGCACCTCAGCCGAAGGGTCCATTTGAGCACCTCCTGTTGGAGAGCTGGTTAATCGACATTCTATTGCCGAACATTCTGCCTAGTTCATTGACCATAACGCCAAGAAGCATTACTGTAAGATTGGCAGCGAAGATTGGCAAGAGAATACATGAAGGTCATGTACAAGTAGGAAAAGGATGACGAGACCCAATGATCAGTAAAGTAAGAAAACTGCTACACTAGCCTCTACGGAGGTCTGCACCAAAAGTCCTACACCCGCGCTAGTGCAGCCCTAACCCTACTTTCGGAAAGCAGCCCTGTAGAGGGGGAGCCTAGAAATACCTTCTAATAGCGCATAGATGGGACTTTAGGTACCTCTTTTAGGCTTGATAAGGGTATTAAGCCTCAAAACTTGGCTGAGGCTAGGTACGATTCCGAAGAACTTTAAGCGTATTGTCCTGGTAACCCTTTAGATGGGGCGTTATCCGAGGTCTGAGCGCAAGAGTCTTGGCGGGTGCAGGACTTTTGGTGCAGACCTCCGTAGGAACTCTTGGCGTTCTTGGCACGGGTCATGGAGGCCCGGCTGCTGGATTTCCTTAAAAGACCAACGAAAAGATCGAAAAAGCTAGCTCATGCTAAAGTACTGTCTGCGTCTGCGTCTAGTCCAGCTCTGGCGTGTACTATGTATCAAGTTATGAGATAATTTATACCTCTCTGTCTGTGGCATGTCACTGGTCGACCTTTCTTCTTCCGGGATGAGCACAGCGTCAGTCTGTTAACTAGGTGCTTCATCGATCGTATTCTAATCATCAATCGTCTTGCAGGGGAACGAGACTGAGTACGTATTGTGTTTAGTGAAGGGTATGTTCATTGATCGGTGATGAGAAAAATGAGGCGAAAGAGCCACCAGATGCGGGAATTGTCGATGGACGTGGTGAGTGGATTAATGGATGAGAAGGATAAGCGAGTGGTGTAAGTCATGGGAATGATGCAAGGAGTAAGGTCCAGATTGACTGAGTCGATGTAACATGAAGCTGTTGAATGATAGTGGTCCCCAGTTGGAAAAAACGAAGAATCTAATTGTAATTTTTGGGGCTTATGTGGCTACTGACTACGACGTCAATCTTCATGTGGCGGTGACAAACTCAAGGTTAATACACTGATATGTCCACTGCAATTGCCTCAGAACACCACCTGGTCATCCTCACCTGCTGACCCCAATACCAACCGCAATGGAAACCTCACTGGCCCAGAAAGCTTTCGGACAATCCCGATCAAATTTACACACCCATGTCCCCTCCCTCTTCTCAAATCCCTCGGGACCACCTCGATACTCCCGGTGTGCGATTCTCACCTGATATTTCTCTTCGTCGGGGCAGTCAAATACGAGGTGTCGAGCCATCGCCACCATCCCATCCAGCTCCTTTTCGCTCGTAGCTTCCAACCGCCCCTTTCGCCCTTCCTCGAGGCCTAAGGTACCCGTGATCCAAACGCCGTAGCATGCAGCGAGTATCCCATCGCGCTCAGCAAGCTTGCCGAGGTCGGTCCCTGTCGTTAAACCGTCTTGGCTCGCGGCCACCGCCGTCTCATACAGCATGCACGCGTCGGCAGCGCTCCTGGCGTTTCTGACCAGCTCTCTGTTCTTGTTCGTCACGGTGCAGCGCAAGACATGACTGCTTGATAGTCCCTGATACCCCTTCTTTGCCGCCGAAGCTAGGTGCTCCCTCACCTCCTGCTGTGCTTGGGCTAAGAAGGCCCCCTGAGCGGCACCGGGATCCGGCCTCTACGCGAATGTATGATTCATCAAGCGGTCTAACTCGTGAAGTTCGAGCACTGTGTCGTAGTGCTGGATGGAATGGAATAGAACAGAGCCGGATGTTGAAGAGGCGGTTTTGTACCAGATGTGGTAGAAGAAGCGGGAGGTAAGGTTGAGGGACGTGATTGAGGGTGGTGTGGGGAGGTGGTGTAGATGTGGAAGGCGATTTCGGCTGGGAGGCATGAGATGCTGAGTTGTGGTGGATTTGGGAGAGCTTGGGTGCTGGAGGGGGTCGAGACTTGTTGGTGTGTGACGGACATGGTGGCATGGGCTTTGATGAATGGAGGAATATTCAGACTACCTTGCAGAATAACTCGCAGGAGGATCCACGTCTGAATGATGTATGAGGTGTAAATAGTGTTGCGAGTGTATTTAACTCACACTTACCAGGGTCAAGCACGTGTTGTTGGAGTGTTTGATTATTCTCTAGCTAGAAAATGTAAACGCTAATTCTAGCAATAAGCTGAATGAAGTGTCAACGGACAATGTCAAACAAGATTAGGTGACGTGTTGAGATTCAAAGTTTGTTGATAGTAAAGTCTTCTTTGTTCTCGAACCGAGGGCAATACTTTATAGATTCAACGGCTTCCTACACATCCCAGTTTACAATTTCAGATCTTTGTCCGCACATACAATGAAATGAGGAGATCAAATCGGAAGACAAGTTATAGAATTTTCTGTAAAGAGCATACATAAATGATTAATGCTCGTTGACTTGTAGCGTTCTTATACAGAGGCCGGGTTTCAATCAATGCATCCTTTTTCCGCAAGGATTTTCCTACAGCCACTTTATCCAACCCTCGCCCTCCAAGACAGATGTCCATCACCCAGCCGAATTTGCCAGTCGACAGCCTTTAAGAATCATCCTGACTGCTGTTATCGATCTAAACATAGTCTCGAGATACTTGCCTTTTGCCCGCTGCCTCGAAAGAACAGCCCCTGAACTCTGGTCACACGGTCTTAGGCCTAGCTCCGCGAGCGCCATCGTTGCGCTGCGGTCCTCCACCATTTCTGCCGACCTCCGCCTCGCTGGCGAACCTTATCCTTTGAGATATCCTCCACGTGACGCACTCTGTGGTCTCGGTGCATTGGCATCTCGTCGGTGTAGTCTGCCCCTCCGCCTCCTCTACGCCTTCTTGAACTAGGGTCCCAGCACATTGTTGTGTCTTTGGATAGTCTCTGAGCGAAGTTTGATGTTTATGGGAACGTGGAAATGGAAGTTTAGATGGAAGAGCTGGATGTCGTGACATAGTTGCAATTTATGAGGAGAGGGGAAGCAATCGGTTAATGCGTTGGCGGCAGAGAACAGCAGAGTTGGTCACAAGGCAGTAATACATCGTTGGTGGTGCCAACACGGCTTCCGTTTGGATATGAATACGAGATCTTGACCAGGATATTCTCAGTGAGCAAGAATCAGTATCACCTGATGCGTAAGTAGCGGAATATAAAACATACCGCTTCTCGTTAAAAGACTTAGGCATCTCTGCTTCTTCCGCACGCAAACAACATGGCAAAACGACAACACTTATGAACTCAAGTCATAGTCTGGTACGCGGTTCTTTGTTCTATTTCAAGCTTGTCGCTGTCATTAACACTTCGGCTCCCCATCTTCATTTATAAAGTGCAAGAGGATTCAAACGCTCGTCGAGCGACTATCGCATACACTAAGGACCCTCAAAACATTGGACAGAGCAAGCCTCTTGGCCCTGGATCTTGAAGAAAAATATATCGAGACCTGTGTAAGTCAAGTAAGGAATCTTGATATTTTCTTGAAGAAGTTCATTGTGGAAGAGAGTAATGAGGGAAGCTCTCATTGGCGTAGAGGTCTGGCAAAGGTGGATCGGTCGTGGAGAGCTTTCAGGTCAATTCGTGCGGACGGGGAGTTGAAGATCTGCAAATGGGTGTGGACCGGATGCTTAATCTAATCAGCTTGCAGCTACAAACTCGAACGGCGTAAGCTTATGATCTTTGTCTGACGATTGTCGTTTGTACTTATTGTATACAGAGCTAAGCTCGACCAAAGCAACACGACCATCCTCCAGCAGCTTGATAACCTTCACCTGGTAACTGTCTCAAAGCCAGATACCAGGCAAAAGCATACTAGGGCAGAAACAATCATTCCATTCATTGGCAACCCAAAATTTAATCAGATAGAGTCGAACTTTGGGACTGGGCAGCCCAGAGTTGCTCTGTGCGGGCTTGGGGGTGTTGGGTAAGGCCTGGATTTCACTTTCACGCTCCAGCACTTGTTTTGGGTTGTGACAGTGTTGTCATGAGCGTTACTCAAAATTTACGTAGGAAATCGTTGGTAAATACCTCGGTATGCTGCAGTTACTGCTATGAGACCTATTACTAAGTATAATATTCCTAATAATGTCTGTAAAGTCTAAAGAAGAAGGACTCTATGCAGAAGAAGATAGCCTTCATATACCAATGTACTAGGCCGAATGAGTACTAGAGGTAGCGAGTGTTGAGTTACCGACAGAAATCACAGCTCGCTCTAGAGTATGCTTTCCGCCTTAGAGACAAGTCGCCAGACACATCAGTCTTTTGAGTCTATACAAGCACTGGTGCGAGCTTTGGGATAGCATACGGCAAGATCGCGGCGGCCTTCAATATCTCGCACAGAGATAATAAGGAGCGAAACAACTTCCAGCTAGTCAAAGACTATTTCGAAAATCAGTACCCATTCAAGTGGCTAATGATCATCGATAACGTCGACAGTGCACCTGCCTTCTTCGAAGAAAAGCTTCGCGGTAAACCTTTGATTGTTTATGGCCCTCAGGGTATCGATGGTGCAGTTCTATACACCTCAATAAAGCGTGACATGGGCGTGGACCTCACCTTGGATCAAGACCCTGTAATGAATAGATCGATGGATCCGGAGGAGACCGGACATTATTTGACCGACGTCTCCTGAGCCATAGCACAGCAAAGCAGCGGAGAGAACTACTCGAAGAACTCGACTACCTCCCCCTAGCAATCACACAAGCGGTGGCATATATGATCAAAAGGCAGAAGTCGGCCAATCAGTATCTGGCTATCTTTTTCGTCAAAGCGACTCTGCGAAGGTGCGACTCCTGAGGCACCAACTTAGTGATTACGGACGGGAAGCAAGACAGTACGAGTCTCTAGCAAAAAGCTTTACGGTGTCTTTTGACCACGTTAGAGCCGAATATCCGCAAGCTGCTGAACTATTCTCGATGATGAGTTGCTTAGATCGGCAAGATATTGTGGGTGCTATGCTTCATCTCGAGTGCGATGAGATGCTCGGTTTAGAGGATTCATTGGGGATCCTAAGAGCCCTTTCATTTACATCATTTCAAGGTTCCATCCCTTTCGAGGATGATCCTGACTGTGCTGACTCTGTCGATGATCGTTCCTATAGCATGCACCCATTAGTCCAGTTAGCGACTCGGGCATGGCTTGAGGAGAATTATCCAGATGCGGGTGGGCGATTCGCAATGCGAGCGATGCAATTCTGTCTCAGAAGTCCGATTCTGATCTCGAAAACATGGTGGAAAATGCCCAATACGAACAGGTAGGGGAGAATGCTCCTCTGTATATCACACATATTCGAAAACTTCTCACTCTTCGATTTCACAACCCTAGCAAGGATCTCAGACCGGCGCAAGTGGCAATCTATCTTCTATATGCAGCATACACTTCTAGGAAACGGGGATGGAACAGGAACGTCGCCGTTGCGCAGACTCATGCCAGCTAATTTTTCGATACGAGAACTGACGTCCTGGGCCCAGGAAATATAGATACGTGCATATCTATGGTGGTGCTTGCAGTGTGCATGGCAGATTCGCATACGTTGAAGGTGGAAGTTGGTGAAACAGAGGCGACTAATGCTGCTGTGGTGTTCCTTCAAAGAGCCTTAGACGGCTTTTATAAAGACTTTGGAGTTGGAGACCAGAAAACCAGTGTCTGTATTGTGGCACTCGTCGCATTGATGACATGCATGGGCAGAAAGCTGATGATATAGATGCTTGGTTTGAAGAGATTCTCAAGGAAGTCAGTGAGAGATCGTTGTCAACGTCCGCGAAAATTTGGACGCGAGCTCCTTGTTCTAATTCTCTCAGGATGATCGCCCCCTTCCATGGCGAGAAAAATAATGATGTTCCTCGCTGGCCTCGACGAGTTGTACCCAACAATACTCGATCAAGATGGAAGAATACTCGGTCAGGATGGAACGAGCGGCGTAGAGCCTGCGGAACGATGCGATAACTTCTAGATTTGACGCCTGGCGGGCTGACAGCGATACTCCCTTCTTAGAGTACAGATTCCTAGGCGCGTGAATGCTGTCATGCTAACCCTAGCGTCCTCACTATCGGCTGCATAATCGCTTATAGAGCGCACATAGTGCACTACGCGCTCGCATCTTACCATACTTAACGTGCGCACCGCGGCGCAGTTATCTGTCATGATATCATCATTCATTTCCAATCCTCCGACATGCATATTCACCAAGCACTTGCAGCTTTGGCCAACGTCCAATCATTCGTTTCTGTCGCTGGGACTCCTCTGACAGCCACGCCTACTTCAATCGCCATAGCAAACACTGGATCTCAACGCTCTTCGGATCAAGCTCTCGTTCTCATTTCCAGCCCTGTTAATGGAAGTGTCACTCCGCCACGCCAAACTTCTAACATAGGACCTCAGTCAAATACCACCTTGATCCCCCCTCAGGGCCTAATTCCCTACCGTGTCAGAGGATCTTCAACAACCCTCTTCTTCCACAGCTTCGGCATCACCATCCCATCCTCTTACATGCTCCAATGCCTCAGCCTCTCCCTCACCCTAATCCTCCAAGTCACCCTGGATGGAAGGGGCAAAGATCTCATCAGCAACGGTTACTTCAACCACACGCACCTCATGCTCAACGGAGCCAAGGTCGCGGTCGTCGTAGGCGATTTTCGAGAAGTTGGACGGCCGATGGATTATTACAACGTAAGGGATATGCTAACCGGGATTGGGGATTTCGTCACAGAGCCGGATCGTGGGATCACGACGCTGAGTTATGAAGTCGAGGTGGATAACAAGGGGTATGTGGGGACGGGGCACGTGGATTATGAGCCTGCCCCCAATAGTGCATGAGTGCTTCACGACTTGATGTATCAAGTCTTTCACGTGTCTATAGATTGCCTCAAAATTCAGGCTATAAACTTTCTGCTGTGATGGACCGTACGCTTACACTTTCCGTTCCAACCGAGTCTTGCTAGCTTACACTTCCATTCCTCGATTCCGCGAGATGGTGATGCATGCGAATTCCTATGACTGCTTCTTCGGCTAAAGATTGGTGAACTTGGAGCGGGTGAAATTGGCTGGGATGACAGTACGCAGTACCTGCTACTATCCGCATACACAGGGTCAAGCTTTGTTCTCAATCGATTCATTAAACCGTGTCTGATGCCTCTCGGCTTTCGAAGCTGTCCTCGTGAGTTTCTTCAATTATCCAGTTCTAAGCGTCGAGGAACTGAGAAAACCCCCCCCCTTCCCGCCACCAAAAGAAAAAAGAAAAAAGGGGGGCAGAGAAAAAGAAAGAAAAGAAGCCGAAGAAGTCTCTAGGGTGATCATTAGTATTTTTGTTTTGGTCGGGATACCGAGACTTTCTTGAGAGCGGTCTCCAAGTACGATCACAGCCTCGCTAGGTGCCTTGAAACGGAAGTCTGGTATGATACCCAACCTCATTAAACAACTGGCCTTTTCGGCTACAGTCTTGGTATTCGGGTATGTTGAAAGCGGCCTCGATATGCTTGGTATTCTTTCAAATGTTCTGGCCCGAAGGGCTGCAAATAGTCTGCACTGGACGCTTTTTGAATGGGAACATCGCCTTCGAAGACAATTATCCGCACCGTCCTTTTTTTACAATCTTTTGGAATGAAAAACATTTCCTTCATCTCCTCCTCCTCCGCCTCGCAGAGCCAGCTGTCGACGTCTCGACGAGGTCAGAGGGTCTTGAATGACAAGATGAAAGCGACCGGTACCCTTGTCCCCCTCCGCCAGGATCACCTCCTGATGCCGCCATACTCGATGCCGCAGCCGCAGCCGCAGCTTCCGAGGCTCTTCCACTGCGGATATCTCGGGGGTGCTGTCAGATGGAGTTGTCGAGGCTGCTGATCGAGCAGATCGACTTTTACCCTGAAGCTGCGCTGGGAACAGACCCTCCGTCATCGACTGGCGCCTCCGACGGTGACAAAACCATATTTCGCGAGAAGGGAAAGGAAATCAAACATGGGCTCTGCAATCTCGCAACTCGTCGCAGGGTAACTATGCGAAGTGGATGAAATGCAAGAGCGGAGATGAAGCGTGCGGGCAGACTGTAAGAAAATCGCGAGATCATGTTTTGTGGGAGGGAAAGTCCCGAAGATGGAAAGAGTATTGTGGCATCACATCAACTCGATAGGCCCGGAATTTCCCTGAAGCTATGAAACTTACTGCTCTCCGAGAGCGCTTCGGGGTTTTTCTGTCGTACTGCTCAAGAATTTGACAATGTTTGACGATTTTACGCCTACACCACAAGTTCCATTCAAACTACTCCTCCTCTGCAGCCATTACAGGAGCAGCTAGTTGGCCCTCTGCAAGCCTGTAACATTAGTACTCCAGCTGAAACGTTGTGTCCCCGATCTTCTCTAGCGGAAGCAAGACTTAATAGACCATATCTCCCCATCCTCCATTGGCAAATCTGTAGTCCACTTGGAATAAGGTAGAAAATAGCACCAAGATGATGAGGCATCCTTCCGTTAGGCTCATCTGTTGCATCGCTTTTATCGCTGTGATGTACGTCACGGTCACTACTTCATTGTATACTTCGAGGCGGGCTTAGAGCCGCGATGGGGACACTGTGAAGTCCCCTGACTTGTATGGGACACGCTGCAGATTGCACACCTTCTGTCTACTTACATTTTGAGGAGAACGGAGTTAAGGGCGCTATGGTTTACACTGATAATCTGCCAGAGAGTACACGCAAAATTGATTAAATTGGACAAGTAAGAGATGAATGCTAGTAGAGGTTTCAAGGTTACAGCGTTCAGTAAGCGATAGAACCCGTAGGCGTTCTTGATTGTCTGCTTGAACTGGATGCAATCCTCCACCTCGCCAGAACCCTCGTAGTCCTGCTTCGTAGATGTTGCAACCGTTTACCTTCTCGTAGGTTGTTGGCGTTGGGGACATATATGTCGAGGCCAACACAGCGCGTGGGATACCGCTAGGGCCTCACATGTCTGGGTCAAGTGAGAGAACATCTTGAAAGACGAGGTCGGAGGAGACGCATAGCTGACAACAAATCTGGGTGAAGAGATCACAATGCATTCATGTGGTATGCATTGTTTAGAGCAGCCGATGACGGTGTGATGTGAGAGCATTGCACCACCAGGAACGCCAAGCATAGAGTGTACCAACAACTTAATGGAAGTCGTCACATGAGCCGCCTTACCGTAGGGCTGGGGCACCCGCTGAAATATTCGTTTTTCGCTCTGCCACCATGTCTCTTCTTCCAAGTCAAATGTGCCCTTTGCACCTAGGGCATCCGTGTATCCATACAACCAGATCTAGTTATCTGAGAAGAGATAACGCGTTGCAACCACAAGCAAAGTCTGAGGCCGAGATGCATCAAGTGTGGCCCACCACCGCAAATGCACGTTGGCTCGGGCGTCCTCGGTCGCTGCCTGGGTGCCAATCAATGTACGCCACGATGGTTTGGTTTTGGGAAGCAGCTACTCGTAGTCGCACTGGGGAGCGATTTGGGATCCCCACCACCATCACCCAAGATCGTGAAGGTACTATGTGGTACCTATGGCGATAGTGCATTATGCTTTCCCAAGTATCTGAAACGTGTGCGCGATTGTGTGGCGCACTCTTATAGGCTCGCGCTTCGGACACAGACATAATCGCAATGGAGCAGTCGACAGAATTACGATAAGAGCAACAGTAAGGCCTACTAACAGATTCGTATCGGAATGTTGCCTACCCATCGTTGTCAAGGAAGTCTTCTATGGTACAGCTGTCGGAGTTCAAGTTCCCACTATTCCTGTTTTTGTCTGCTCCAGCGTCTGCGCCCTGGTGGTCGCCTACTATCAGTATCGGTTCTCATTGTTTGTTATCGGTGTCTGTGTGGGGTCGACTGAGTGCATAATGCGCCTAGCGCTCGGAGGACTCTCACCTGGTGTGAGCTGCTCTGCCACTTTCGTCATTGCGAGCGGTGTTTACACTGCTCAGGCTGGGAATGTCAGTAGCGATGACCTGTCAGGAGGGCTTGCGAAGTTGCATCATGAGACTTGATTGACTGTGTACAGATATCTTGGTTTCATGTATATCGTTTTCATATATTGTTGAAGTCGAGTATTTGATAGAAGACGTTACATGCTGACAGTAGAAAATTATAAACGAATGGACGGTCCCACTGACCCGCAATCGGAACTCAAGCCATGAGTATCTCCCATTCCTCACGCGGACTGCAGACCGCAGACCGTGCCAACCACAGACCCAACCTTAACCCCTAATTGTACCTCTAATCAATAGAAGGTAACAGCGAGACAGTTGTTGGTCGAAACGACCTGCGGCGTCGTGTTTGAATCCCCAGTACCAATGAACGCCTTCTGCATTGCCTCCGTGTGGTTTTGCCCCCCAAGTTTCTCAAATATATAGTCGGCAGATGCAGTATTGGCCGCCCTTGGCGCCCACCAGTTGCCGGTAGTGCTATCCAAGACATTCGTTGCAGTCGTCGTGCATTGGTCGCCGCTGAAACAGGGACCGCCTTGCGTGGCAGGGTTGAAGAACGCGGCTGCGGGTATGTCTGTGTTCTCGTTGATGTTGTCAGTGAAGCCTTGGGTCGTCCCGCCGGTCGTGGACGCGAGCGTTGCGCCCCCGTCGCATCCTTGCTGCAGGCTTACGTCGCCATACGCCTCGCCCACCATGTTCATTTCAACCCATGTGGCCGGGAGGGCATCGCCGCGCTGAACGGTGCCTGCCCAGCCGAAGTCGAGGGGGACGAATTGGGTGTCGCCGTTGTTGACTGAGACGGTTTTCAGCAGGGTCCGGCTATAGTCGGCGTTGGTCCAGAATGAGAAGGACTTTGTGGCGCCGCTGTTTGAAAGAAGGACGCCGACGCCATTGCATGTCGCCTCGCGGGGCTCGAAGAGGGATTTGAGTGAGCGAGGGACCCAGGCGCTGGGGGTTTCGGAAAGGGTTGGGGCGGAGAGGACGGGGGTAACGGTGGTGGACAGAGCGAGGCAGAGGGAAAGGACTGATTTGAGCGTTCCAGACGCTAAGTAAGAGGGAGACATAATGAGTGTGATGGTACTTTGACAAGCAAAGATCCAAAAAAGAGCGAATAGCAAAAAATGAGTGACTGGACGTACTTGTAGCGGTAACGAGCGAAGAGGGGGAAAATCATGGGACAAAGGTTACTTATCATGAGGGCAGCAAGGGATAAGGGATGAATGAGCGTAGCGCGCACTAATTTGTGGTGTGCCCATTGAGATGTTTAGACTCTTTGTTTTTTAGACCTGAAAGGAACAGATTGCCCAGGTTGCGGCATCCTATTTGGTGCTACCACAAAGTCGTTCTAGGCCTTTGTTGCCCCGCTCATTAATCCTTGTGGATGGTGCGAAACACCATTGTTTTAGATGCCATCCTAGCTGACGGAACAAAAGGGTCTTGTGGAACGCAATTTTGAATTGTTTCTGCGCTTGGTAGCCTCGCTTTGACGGTGAAAAATGCTGACGCGTTGTTACTTCTACTGAAAACATCGGTCACCGAGGGCGGGTATTGCAGTGTAGAAATTCCTTGCTGTTAGCTGAGTATAATTGCGAAGGCGAAGCAGTCAATAAACGATCATATCCACTAGGTGTGCAACTTTTCTTGGTAAGTCGACCAGATGTTTCGAAGAGAAAAATTTGATAAATATGGGGGAAATGTCAGCGATGTGTTCGTTGCGATGCTGGGGCTGTCAGAGCTCAGGGGTAAAATTGCTTCGGGAGATATGCCACCGGCGAAACTAAGCCAGCTCTAACAGCCAATCAATGACAGCCAATCAATGACAAGTCAATCCTGGTTCCTGAACTTGTTTTAGCTGCAATGTGTCGTGCAGGGATGATGTGGCACACCGACCGAGTGCCGGAGCAGCGCCACTTCCTGTGATTGTAGCTGCATCGGTGCAACCTTTACTTGCTCAGGAGGACTCACGGACTGGACAGTCAGACACATTATAGACCAACGTTGGAAAGACAAATCCTCCACCCAAGATGCGCTTTAGTCAAATAGATTGCATCTGTTGGTAATTTGCGCTCGTCGCTTCTTTTGATCCACTGTCCCATGTTGATTGTACACTTCAATAATTGGAGGTCTCCGTAACCTGTAGGTTCGCTAGCCCGCGAAACAGGTTGCACCACTTTCAGCTCCCTGTCTCGGGCCGGGGCCGATGCAGCGTTTCTGGAAATTGTTGGGACACTCGTCCAAACACTAAAATTGTCTGAAACAAACCATTGTCGCCAGAAAGCGTTCAGTCCTTTTTCCTTCCCGTAGACCATAAGATTCTCTGCTTTGTGCATAGGCTTGGTCAAACTTTCTGGGAGATGAGATCCATCCCCGACGAGCTCCAGAGGTGGTCATTGGAGGATCAAATTTCCGATGCGATGCATGTAAAAGATGCTGTGGCGTGTTTGAAGGCCAGAATAGGAAGCTCAATTGCCACATGCGTCTTCTCTGAGGTTGGGATGTAATTCGCGCTCGGCGTCGCTCTCTGATCTCCGCTCGCTTCAAGAAGGAGTTAGATTTGTGTGGGAGAGGGCGTTACACTATTCGTAGCATAATAGTTCTAGATTTAGAAATTCACAGGATGGTAATTTGGGCTTGGTGTAGGTCGCCTTCCTATTTTTTCATTGAGTTGTGAGGATTATCTTCCTTCGCCAAGCAGGGGTCCAAGCGACGAAGGATGCCAACGCCAAGACGCCAAGACGCCAAGATTCTGCGAAGGGAACAATGTATATCCGTTTCCGAGGGACGCGGGCACCGTGGCTACAAAATTTCGAAATGTGACTCACATCACCACCACCATTCATAGAGGGAAGCTTAGGGACCAAGTCTCGGTAGTGGCCACATTGGGCAACACTACTCGACAATTGCCTCCACCACTATCAAATGAGCCCTTTCAGCCACTGGCTGGAGGCTCACGAGCTGGTCCCTACACTCCTGTCTTGGTTCGACTTCCTGCAATCCTCTGACATGGATACCACATCTGCAGTTACAAAGGATAGACTGCATGCAGGAACCTTGTTAGGACCTCGCTGTGTACGATCCGCTTAAAGTAGCCACGACGCGTGGAACCAATGCCTTGCTGGTCTGTTGAAACTTAGTCAAGCATCACTGAAGCACGAAGAGAGGAGCGTCGAAGGTGTATAACGGCTGCCGTGGCTCGTGGAGAAAGACCTTGGTCTAGACGGAGCAGTTGTCGATGAGGTTCGAGCACGTATGGGACTTGCTCGATACATCCACTTGTTCGTCTCTGCTTCCACATGCTAATTCACGTAGGCGCTTTGACAAATTTGCGCAAGAGCTGGGAAACGTTCATGAGCATTGGGCCACGACTTCAGAAAGTCACCTGATAGACGAGGACTCAGTGAAGTCCGTTTTGGCCCTCCACAACGTCGAAGGTCCTGGCGGTGGTGCTACAAAGTCGAGCGTCAACGCGATCGATACAGTCTACGCCTGATGTATGTTCTGACACTGAGAACTACTGAGGCGAGGTGTCAGTGACCCCATATGTGGAACCTCGACAACATATTGTTCTGAAAGACGTGGGAATGGGGCGACGGTACTAGGATCAGCACGTCATATGTAACGACTGATCCGGATTGCCCAAAGCGAAAATACCCATACGTGTGCAGCTAGACGTCGTAGATGTCTTTAAATTCCTGTCAGATCGTTTCAAGACGCCTACCACGTTCGATGCCAGCTCCGAATTACACAGACTATGTTCGACGGTGGGAGTGGCAATGCTCCTGTGAATCTCGTGGGTTGCTGGGAAAAGGTCGCCAGAAGTGTCCAACACATCCGACTTGGTGGCGTGGTAGGCGTGTCTAGGGACCAGTGGAAGACGATCGAAATGTCCCGCCCACCAGGACTGTCGGGCGCACTGCTCTCGCGCGTAACTTCTGACTGGCGAGGGCTGCAAACCATGGGGACGCGAGTCCCGGCTATCTTAGGTGACTTGAAGGCAGCAGTCATGATGAGCGTCGAATCTAGGGGCTGGCGTAGTCACGGGGCGGGTAGATGTAGTATCCATTCAATGATCACCCCGAGAGGTACTGTCATCGTGGGAAGACATCAAGCCCGAAATTGTTCTTCGAGTGTACTTTTTGGTGGCGAAATGCTATTGCTTTCTAGATCTACACATATTGAGAGCAAAGGGTCGCGGAGTCGGATTGGCTCAGAAGAGGTTAGAAGCACCAAGTAGCCATGTTTCTTCTTGTCACTGTTTGAAGAAGTTGGGAATTGAAAGTGAGATTGCGAGAATCAATTGCTTACTGGTAGTCATAACTCCGTGTTCGTCGGTGTCAAACAAAAAATCACCAAGGAGACACGGGCTAAAAAAAGCCAGATTCCAGTTCCAGCTCCGTTCCAGCTCCGTTCCAGCTCCTGATGTACATCATACCCACAGCGGCCTACTTCCAGGTTATTACAACTGCCATAGTAACAGGTACACCGTCGCAGGTTGCTCTCGAAGCAGCGGTGCAAATGACTGATTATAAATGCAACACATTCATGTTTGGCTGGACAAGAGAGTTCACCATTGTAACAGCGAGTTAAGAGACTATTGAGAGTATAGAAAAGATCGTTGAGAAAATAGGTATTGATGTTAGACCTGGTGTTTGGCTGACCAAAAATCCTAATAGTCTGCAAGCAAAGAATGAGAGAAAATGATTGTGCAACACAAGAACGAGGCCCGGTCATGGTTACTGCTTCCGAATCTGCAAAGTTCGAGTGCATTTCGCTTATCTTCCACGAGCCATAGATATACTGGTGATGGGTCGTTTCCCAGAAATAAGACCTGGGAAGCCACATTGACTAAACGGCAATTCATACTTTGCAGCCCAAACGTCCCGCGCTTTCGCCATTTCTTATATCTGGACCCAGAGGCTCAAATAGCTTTTGCCTCTCTTTCATTTTCTGGGTGTTACATTCATTGTCCTAAATGACATTCGCCAACCGCCCTGTCCCCACTCTCCCCACTCCGTCCACGAGGACATCAAAATTCATATCCACTGAATCATACACCTTTAACCATGCCTGGATCGACTGTACCAGGTGCGACAACTCCACCCATCGCATGGCGTCTTCGGGAAGTATCGACAGCTCCACCGTTCCCCATGCGTACTCTCGAGGCGTATTGACTTTGGTGTAACGTCGGTCTCCATGAGTCAAGACGTCCCCTAAGGCTGCTTCGACACATCGCTTAGAGTCCAAGCGGCTGATGGTGATGGTGTAGTTGCGGAAGGTTATGGTGACGGTGGAGCCCGGGATGTGGCGGAAGAGTGGATCCGAGGGCAGGACTCCTAAGCTGTGTAATGTGAGAAGGCTATAACACGGAGCTCACCCTCTTTGCTTACTTGGGTTGGTCGTGCAGGCTAAGGTTTGTTGGAGGTGCTAGATTGAGGGTTTTGCCGTTGAGGAGTCCCAGAGATGGCGTACTGGACAACGGTGCTGCGAGAACGGAGATGCACAATCGAAGAAGAGCTACAAGAAATCGCAGCCTGAACATTTCAACCCTTGAAAATTGCGCTTTATATGGACGATCTTTAGAGGGTTTTCATGGTTCAGCAACTGACTACGTAATGCGTTGTCTACTGGCGCATGTGTGGGCGGCTAGAATATTGCTTCCCGCCTGCCATCCATTGGTTGCCGTGCGTCGTGTTTCGAGCAATCGGCTGCCTTGCGCTGCTCTCAACACGCTGCTGGGTTGGAGCTTAATAATGGGTGGCGGTCTTAGCTGCAGCTTCAAACCCAGCGTTGTGGTATCGCGAGGAATCGTGTGCTCTCTCCCAAAGAACAAAACTTGTCGCTATGTACAACTCCTTCATATACTTATCCATCTACCGCGAGCAACAATGCCGCGAACCTCACTCCAACCGCCCAGGCAATATTGATATAGCTGTGGGCTTTTCACGCTCGCTTATTGTTTCGGCGCATGTCGGCGTAAAAGTAAAGGACAGCATGTGACGCCACCAGTGACCGGTATTCAGCTGGCAGCCGTGAATGACCCACCGGAAACCCCGCAGTCTTACCGCGTTAGAGAGGGCCCACCTCCGTGTATGCAAACATGTCTTAGGGCGCAGGGTGGATGAATTCCGAAGCTCCCTTCAAAAGTTCGCGGGCTTTTTAGGCCTAAAAGGGGCCTGCAGGCAAAGACCCTACGCTAGCTACTCGAAACCAGATGGACCGAATGACCGACTTCATGCTCGCCGGCGCTCGGTTGCAGGTGTATCTTGTGCCGGTGATAAGCCAGAATACTTTCGCAATGCCGCCAAGCGCGTAGGGTGGGTGCTTGGAGAAACGGGAAGTCCTGATTGAGCGCCTCGCCGTTGTTGGAGGCCACGTATACGAGTGGCCCGGAGCAATAGAGCCCGGTGTTGTACGCCATCTTTCGCAGTCCGGCTGTGTAGGCTATTGCGATTGCGAGTATGGTGGAACCAATAGCTATGCCTGCAATTGGTCCGCGCCATCTCGTTAAGTGAGGATGATACCCTTTTTATATGATGGGCACGACGATGTTGCGGCGTTACCCCGAGACCGGATTCAGAGATCTGATCGCGTCATTGAGGACCACATCGTTGACCATCTCGCCAGCTTGGGAGATTGTGTTGTTGAAGGTCTGGTTGGAGCAGAGCTAATGGATCGAAAAGAAGATTCGGTTGACGCCTTTCGTCAATTTCTTGTGTTGATGTGGCCTTGTGGCAGAGCTTGCAGGACTCGACACGGCAGAAGGCGGCTCTTCGGTTCGCGTAAACGCGCCATTCCATGGGGCCTGCTTATGATGCTTCTCGGATTGGAACCAAGGCTTGGCGGCATCCATGATCCGTCTTCCTTTTGCCCAACACGGCAAGGCACGGACAGCGTGCGAAGGTACGCTCCCGCAGTGGGTTTCTGACTAGAGGCTGGAGACATAGTGTTAAGGTGTTACGTATGCTTGCAAAGTGCTTGAGTTGCTCACTGAACTTAGTCCTTACGTCGATGAATGTGAAAACTGATACTTACCTGATGCAGAGTATTGGTAGACGTAAGCAGCCAAGAATCCTAAATACTTCTCTAAGATCGTGGTGGCGCGTGCTCTAAATCCCCATACGTTGCCTGTGTTCAATCTAAGTATGGGCTGCTACCCTTTGTCTTCGTAGCGGACCGCCGTTTCTAAAAATTTCTGCACGCTATTCATGCCTCGTCACGATATCCTGCAGTATTCCGTGAGTTTGGTAAGGAAAACGGAGAACAGTTGCTTTGATAGACCAGAACTTAGTAGCCAAAAGGTCTACCCAATTGATATTCGGCATCCAATCTTCGCTGAGAGTCTATTTGCTCGTGCAAATCGTTTATTTTCGCTCTGTGACTAGTTCTTACATGAAAGACTGGGTACCATTTTTTCGCGCTCAATGCGTGAATTTAATCAAATGAACAGAAAGACATCACCATTAAACGAGATCTTGAACTTCAATTTCGCCTCTAGAACTGCAGTTTTTGACTCCGCCTTCACGCTTACTCGATGCCACTACAGACCCAACTCCCCCGGACTCAATGTCCCATTCAATACAGCAGCCTCGTGTGCCCTTGCAACGTACCCGTATACAGGCAAGTACTGATCCAGGAACGGCAGCAGCTGCAAGCTTCCGGGCGTATTCCTCCAATCACGCATGAGGTCCATGACGATGGCAAAGAGTCCCTGAAGAATGACGCCGGAACTCTCCATTCTGCGATTTGCGTCGTCCGCGAGTCTCTGGGAGAAAGTGCCACTGGCTTCGGTGTTGGCAAAGACGGTGTAGCCTTCGGCGCGGAGGGAGAGGGCGAGGAATTCGGTGCCTGGTTTGATACACGTTGGTGGTTTGCAAGGTGCGGACTTGAAGGGTGGACAATTTTACTTACAGACGTCGGTGGTGATTCCAGCGAGGATGATTTGACTTTTGTTTTGAGCAACTACCGCGGCCCTGAAGTCTGAGTTGTCCCATGCATCTACCTCTCCGTTCCGCTTGATCAACGGAGCGTTTGGGAACATGGTTGTTATCTCTTTTGGGAGAGGGCCATTGGGTCCCGTCTGAGCGCTGGTGGTCAGGACGATGGGAATGCTGAACAATTTTGCGATCGAGGCATGTGCGATGATGTTGTTCCGGAAGACCGTTGGGTCGTAATCGCGGACCTGGACGGACCTGGATCAACTCATAGCGTATCAATGTCAGGAGATCCACTTACGGTATTGTACAAGCCTTCCTGCAAGTCTGCTACGATAACCATCTTGACAGGTATGAGCTGGCGTCCAAAGTGTATATGATTCATAGTAGGAGTCATACAGAGTCATACTTGTCGAGACGAAGGAATGGCGGTCCAGGGACCAAGGCTGCTTGTACAATAGGGTCAGCCGTAACAGCTGCCCACATGAGATTCTGGGAGAACTTCATGATGAATTTGAGCTGTGTGTTTCTGCGAAGGCTGTTAAAGATCCAGAGAGTAGTGTTCACGAGGATGTGGATGTGAATGGAGGTTGCTTTCCAAGGTGCGAACAGACTCTATATATGTTGAATCCACGCTGAACTGCTGGCTCCCTTTGCAAATTGAATAGCAGTATTCTTCGTTTCTTGGCGACCTCGGATCTGCTTATCGATTATGCCCATCTTACGGAGAAATGACAAAAAGCAGGCTTGCATCATGCATGCCAAGAGCTGTCACTACATGACGCTGGTTAGCGACAAGGAATCGTGAGAGCAGATGCAAAGACAGACAAGCAGCGAATCGGTCGCGACAATGAAAGATGAATTTCTCTTTGATCGACGATGTACACACCTGCCAAGATTAGCTAATCCGGATGAATATTTAGCTTTTCCATTTAGCGCCTGTCAGACCTGCAGCATGTCAGCTTTCTGTCATCTGAGATTCGGGGAGCTGCAGATACCCAACAATCATTCTGGCCTGACTAATCTTAGTCAATCCTGACATCTGTGTCTTCCCAACCTTCGCCCCTTTCAAACATGGCAATGTCACATGGCCTCCGCCCTGTGCGCGCCGTGGCTTAATATGCAGCGGAAATGGCTGCTTTGAAGGAGCTGACAATACCGTAAGTTGCAAGCATCTCTCGACGATCCTTTTCCCATGGGCGAAAAAAAGTCTCCGATTGGCCAGACGCTCTCTACATGCGCACAACTTTCCCTAGCCTCACAATAGTCAAGATATATCAGAAGCGCACTCGGAATGAAGAGCAGTGTAGGCGGACTAGAGGTCGTGAAAGAGCTTGTCTCTCTTCCAAGGAGGACAGCCTTCTCTTGATAGCACGCAAGCCAGTTTTGACGGCAGTCGTCTTTGAAAGGTCCATGTTCGGGGCTATAACCGAGTTGACTTTGTGATTGGTCCTTTGTCACCGCCCAACTGCATAAAAGCAAGAGACAAATTGCAGACTCGGCTGGAGCTTCCATGCAATATGCTACGCTGACATTCAGTGTCTGGGAATGGGTTAGGAGATCGTCACCAGTGGGCAGTGCCGCGGCTATCGCCATGGTCAGATGTCAGATTCACAGAAGATTCTACTTTTGCAGCTTGTGCTATCCATCCACAAACTCATCTCGAATGTAAAGAAAAACGTCTTCACGACATCTTGCAAAGGATTCATGTCCTTGGTCAAAAGACCCGAGCGGACCACAAGGAGAATCCGCTAGAGATGGAACATGAGACAGACAGTGGTACCAAGCATGAGTATGGGCCCATAGTTTCTGGCTGGACAAATGCAGCGGACAGAAAGATTGCCTCTTACCCATCCCACTGGCGGCTGCAGAACGCATCTCGCCAGAAGGTTCTCGCGACAGTAACATCTGTATGCGCGTGAGCTAGTGTGCGGTAATTCCGCGATTTTTCTAGATACGAAACTTTGCTGCCTGGAATGTTGCCCTTTCCTGCCAAAAAAACAGTAGCACCATGAAGACCTTCATAATTCATCCTGTAGCTGTACAAATGTGGCTGTGGGGCTTTGCTTTGTCAGTATCCGCTGCTCTATCGCTCATTTCAAATTCCCTTGTGCTAGCGAACCAGCGGGTCAATGAAACGGGAACATTCAACGTAACCACTCCAGCTTCTCTGAAGTAAGTTATCCCAGCGATGGTTTGTTCTCTCTTGACTGAGAGACTTGCGCTAGAACACTCCCGGACCAGGTCGACTACAGGGTTCTTGGCACTCCCATCACTATTCGGTTCTACGGCTACGGTCTCGATCTTGACGTCAAGAAGGGCTCAGCTCTTATCTTACTGGTTACACAGGGCGAGCAACTCGTTTGGGACCAACCCGTAGAGGATGACTTGCTTCTGGCCGACTATGAGGGCATGGAATTCAGATTTTATCCGCAGGTATGGATCACATGGAGGATGTTATATGAAACGACACTAGCCATGGAATACTTTTTCTCACATATCTTGAGGAGGGAATTCAGTTTTTACCTGCGGCTCGAGGGACAAGAGGATTTCTTTGGCCATGGACTAATGCGGATGAATGATAGGCGTGCGTGACAGGAATTAGGTTCAAATGCGACGGAATCCTGTGATAATGCAAAGCGGGTGCTGCGTATATAAATGAATGTAAAAATTTGGCAGCGCGCTCCTTGCGATTCTATCAGAATACGTTACAAATGTTCGAAACGAGAACTTTTAGAGAGATGTATCAGGAAGCCTTAGAGCCCCACCTCTAACCCATTTCGTCTTCTCGGCTCTAATTAACAGACCTAAGGATACCCCAATTGATAGTACATACCGCGTTTGCACGGATAGTTCTTCATATCCTCCCTTCCATTGCTAAAACCGTTCCAGTTGGCCCGCAGCCTCGTTGCCTGAGCATATCGGGACTTTCAGCGCACCCGCAAGCCGGATCCTACTACCATAGATGTCGATGACTCGGTCAGGATCTGTGGCATAGACGAAGGTCTGTCCGTTTTCGTAGCTATTGGGTCCATACCTGGCAACCGCCCTGTGTCGCGTGTTTTGTTATATCTTGCCGCAGAGCACAGCTCAGAATTGGGGAAATGACAAATACGTACCCAGGAATGAAATACTTGTTCACAGCTGCATAGCAGTCCAGTATTTCCCGCCCTACGCAGATGCGTAAACCAGGCCATCATTCGAGCCGCAGCAAGTATCGGACACGAATGTCCAATTACAGGGACACTGATACGGTGCACCCATCTCGTCCACAAATGACTTGAAATCTCTCCCTCCGATCCAACTAGCAGCTCTACGGGCCTGGACCAAACACACAGCAACTGGCACAACGACATCCAGTCCCAGGGTTCTTGCATCTGGATACGAAGGAATTGCGCAGAAAGAATCAATGTCGTTGGAATCTTCGCCGTTGGAGCTACACTCCTGCGGACCGTTTGCAATACCGGCCGCATTCCGTCAAACTGTTAGACCCCGGCGAGGCTTTGATTATCTGCGTTGCGTTTGGGGGAGTTCGAAGAACGGGTCCGTGGGCCAGGGTTGTTGACAGGACTGCCGGCCGTCTGGCCCACACATACCAGCCGGGGTGCTCATGTGTTGATTCTGGGACGCATTCAGCCTATTTGACACCAGCAAGATCTGTTGTCGGCTCGTTGAGGATCCTGCCTGTTCAAGGGTGATGGAGCCATGGGCTTGTTTTGCCAGATTGTACTCAGGCGTGAAACGCCAAAGGACGGAAATTGACCAGGCCCAGAGTCCAAGGGCATAGTTGTCCCGGGTGGGCATGTCCGTACACGCGCATCTCTGCCAGCAGTAGAATCGTATGGCAGATGAAGCGAGGAAGTGGGCGTTCCATGTCCATTCGAATCGTGGTGTGAATTCGTCCGAGAACCAGACTGTTCTGTTCATGGCCCCGTCAGGCGTGTCTGTCCTATGACAGTAACCGCCTAAGTTTGCGTATTTAAGTGTGGTCAGAAAGAATCAAGAGGCAACCAAACCCGGAATCTGAGCGGCTTACTGATTACCTCCAGACATTTGAACCGCGCAAAGTTCCTGCAGATTTTGGAAGTTGGATGTTTCGTACGGCAACGGGAGGTTGAGACGAGGTAGATCGCATCGCCATTCGATCTTGTTAGAGGGGTTGGCGTTGAAAAAAGCAAAGGCGTGTTGATGATACGTTCCGTACAGCGCCCACGCTACCTGAGCAATCGCCACATCGGCTAGTCCAAGCGTCCCTTGATACAGCGTTGATGGCATAAAAATATCCACGGCCACGACAATCTGCTTGGCTCATGAGTCAAAATTCGTTGCTGTCGATTGCTGTTTGACTTGGTTCATATCTCGAACCTCGCTGTAAAATTACGGCTTTCCAATGTCTTTTTGATTGGATACAGACTGCAATTATGAATAGGGAGAAGCCTCGTGGACATTACTAACGTAGCAGCATTGGTCGCCACAGTGGGACTGGGGGTTAGTGGGTCACATGACATCATGGCCCTGTTGGTACCTGTTGGTACCCCTGTTGGTACCCCTGTTGGTACCCCTGTTGGTACCCCGGCAAGGGGTTGGGGACAGGTGTCCAGTACGAGCTATATATCCACCTGTTTTGCACCTGTCAATATTATCAATGGCTCTTCATTCGATTCCGCCTCTTTCAGAGCCATTGCATACCTTTTGTCCCACCCACCTACACCTGTACATAGCTAGCTATCATTCCACTCCAGGTCTATGCCATAGACATAGGAGTTTTCTTGCGCTGGGGTACGAGAAACATGCCTGTTCAGGCACCTATTTAGGCCCATTCAAGCTTGCTATTCCCGGCGTGAGACGGTCCAACCACTATCTATATTCTATGTGGGCCTCTATGCGTGCATTGATGCGTGTTTTTCATGAATGGGACAACTAACTGTCGGCTAGTTTGCGCTTAAAAGGCGCGCGAAGAAATGAACCGTCCTCTCATTTCGCATGTTTGGAAACGTTTGAAAAATGAAACGCGAGGGAAGTGCGAGAGGGTCGGAAGAAGTGCACATGGAACATATTAATAGGAATTGTTAGAACGCTATTGTGGTCGCGAAAGACCCCGGGGTTCCAACGTCGGCGCCAAACATTTTGGCAGACTCTGTCGATGTCCAAAACTTTAAAGAGTTTTATATGATATGGAGCCTGCCAATTTTAGCTGTATGAAGGACCTTTTGCGGAAAACTATGCGCAACGTTCCAGAATTGGCTCGATATGGCTTGGCAGTTACGAGTATCTGGAGTTTGCCTGGAGTATGCGGTACAAAAGAAGCAGTCCATCTCTTGTATTCTCAGACCCGCTTTCTTCAGTCCGCCTCTACTACCACCTTATACTACCATAGAGACTCTTTTCAACGTCGTTCATTCTTCCCAAAGAGGTCGTGTACTTGAAGAGGGTTTCTTTCAATCTTGTCCACTTCCAAACATCTCATATAGTAATCGATATGATAAACGTCCTTCCACTTGCGCTCGCTGGTATGCTTGCTGCAGCTGTCAACTCGACTCCGTTCAATCACAAAAGACAAGACGGACAGCAAGTTATCTTTCGCAGCGATCTCAAGCAAGGGGAAGGCCAATCGCCTGAGTTCAAAAACGTCTTTTGTTAGTAGAGCAACCAATAATTGCACAGAGGATTGCTGACTCAGGACGTAGTGGGTCACGCGAAAACAAATGTTACCGGCCAATATGACATCACTTTTGTAGACCAGGCCGAGAAGGCCAACGCCGACAGAGGAGTTGTCGAATCGCACGGTATCCCTCTCGGCGTCGGAAACATGACCCTCTATATCAACATGGGCACCGACAAGGCAAATCCAACCGGTCCACAGCCCGTCACTCTGGGCACGACGCAGCAGAGCGCAGGTTGGTTCTACACCGTAGCTGGCGAGTTGAAATCCGCTTCCAGCGTTCCTCAATGGGATACTTGGATCATCTGCGAAGGCGATCAAGGTTATCCACGACTGTACTGGGTTGGGGTCGTTGACTTGTCGGTGCACATTCCGGAGTACTGTAGCGCTGTGAGACTGTATGCCGACAATGTTTAGTCGAAGTGTTGTTGCGGGATGTGATGTGCGAGGTTGCATGACTTTCAAGTCTGAAGCGTACTGTATCAGTAGCAATGCTGCTCCTTTTGCGATCAACCTCTTGTTTCATGGCGCAAGAGTAGGAAAGCGCAAAAGTGGGAAGGCGCCTTCAGAACACTGGCAATTGATCGTTCAATGAATACAAGTTTTGCCTTTCAGCTACATTATATTTGCGAATTTCACGTTCTGTGAACAGCTGTTCGAGAATCTGTGGTGGTTCTGCAATTGACTTTGAGAGCTTTCGTCACAAGTCGCAACAGTGGGACTGTGGGTTAGTGGGTCCATTATGAGGCCATAGCGTTGGTGGCTGTTTGATCAGCCGTCTTATTATTATGCGATATGCGATATGCGATAGGCGGGAGACAGGTGGACATGGCGAGTACTATTTGTATGGCCACTGCACCTGTAGTGGGCTCTTCATTCGAATTGTTCTCTTTCAGAGCCATATCATTGTTCTTTTATCAGTCATTGCGAAAGGATATTTCGACTATTTCAGCCATGCGGCCATGAAGCTATTCAGCCATTCCAGCTATTTGAGGCCACTGCAGTCACATAGAAATTTCAGCCCTGTTTCAGCCCTATTTCAGCCCTATTGCAGCCATGCGGCCATGAGGCTACTCAGCCATTTCCAGCCATATGGAATTGTCCAGCATACCAGCTATTTGAGGCTATTGCAGTCACATAGAGATCATGCAGCTATTCACCCATTGGAGCCATGCCAGCCATTGGAGCCATTCCAGCCATTTGCAGCCGTACGGCCATGCGACCATGCAACTACCATTTGGATACACACTTCAGCCATTCCACCTGTAACTATTCACCTCAGCTATCGCAGCTACATTGATATTTCAGTCACTTCAGCTATTTAGGCTATTGCAGCCATGTGGATGTTTTCAATCATTGCAGCTATTTCAGCTATTTCGGCTATCGCAGCCATGTCGCTATTTCAGCTATTTCAGCTATTTGAGCTATTGCAGCCATGTGGCTATTTCAGCTATTTGGGCTAGTGCAGCCATGTGGACATTTCAGCTATTTGGGCTATTGCAGCCATGTGGATGTTTTCAATCATTGCAGCTATTTCAGCGATGTCAGCTATTTGAACTATTGCAGCCATGTGGCTATGTCAGCTATTTGAGCTATTGCAGCCAGGTGGCTATTTCAGCTATTTGAGCTATTGCAGCCATGTGGCTATTTCAGCTTGAGCTATTGCAGCCATGCGGCTATTTCAGCTATTTGGGCTATTGCAGCCAGGTCAGCTATGTGGGCTATTGCAGCCATGTGGATATTTCAGCTATTTCAGCTATTTGAGCTATTGCAGCCATGTGGCTATTTCAGCTATGTCAGCTATTGCAGCCATGTCAGCTATTTGAGCTATTGCAGCCATGTGGCTATTTCAGCTATTTCAGCTATTTGAGCTATTGCAGCCATGTGGCTATTTCAGCTATTTGGGCTATTGCAGCCATGTCAGCTATTTGAGCTATTTGCAGCCATGTGGCTATTTCAGCTATTTCAGCTATTTGAGCTATTGCAGCCATGTGGCTATTGCAGTCATGTCAGCTATTTGGGCTACTGCAGCCTTGGAGATGTCTCAGCTATTCCAGCTATTTGGGCTATCCCAGTCATTTCAGCTATTTAGGCTACCGCAGCCTTGGAGATGTCTCAGCTATTCCAGCTATTTGGGCTATCCCAGTCATTTCAGCTATTTGAACTACCGCAGTCATATCCAGCTACTTCAGCTATCGCAGCCACGGGGATGTTTCAGTCATTCCAGCTATTCGGGCTATCGCAACCATGGAGATGTCCCAGCCATTTCAGCTGTCCGGGCTATCGCAACCACGGGGATGTTTCAGTCATTCCAGCTATTCGGGCTATCGCAACCATGGAGATGTCCCAGCCATTTCAGCTGTCCGGGCTACCGCAACCATAGAGATGTCCCAGCCATTTCAGCTATTTGGAATATCGCAGACATGGGGATGTCCCAGTTATTTCAGCCATTTGGGCTACCGCAGCCATGGAGATGTCTCAGCTATTCCAGCCGTTTGGGCTATCGCAGCCATGGAGATGTCTCAGTTACTTCAGCTATTTGGGCTACCGCAGCCACAAGGGTATCTCAGCTATCGCAGCCATGGAGATGTCTGAGGATTTCAGCTAATCGGGCTACCGCAGCTATGGAGAGGTCGCAACTATTCCAGCTATTTGGGCTACCGCAGCCATGGAGATGTCTCAGTTATTTCAGCTGGTTAAGCTATCGCAGCTAGGGGGAATTTCAGCTAGTCCAGCTGATTGGGCTACCGCAGCCATGGAGATGTCTCAGTTACTTCAGCTAATTGGGCTACCGCAGCCATGGAGACGCTATTTCAGCTAATTGGGCTACCGCAGCCATGGAGATATCTCAATTCCTTCAGCTATTTGGGCTACCGCAGCCTTGGAGATGTCCCAGCCATTTCAGCTATTCGGGCTATCGCAACCACGGAGATGTCCCAGCTATCTCAGCTACTTGACCTATCGCAGACATAGGGATGTCCCAGTTAATTCAGCTACTTGGGCTACCGCAGCCATAGAGATGTCTCAGTTACTTCAGCTATTTGCGCTATCGCAGCCTTGGAGAGGTCTCAGCCAATTCAGCTATTCGGGCTATCGTAACCACGGAGATGTCCCAGCTATTTCAGCTGTTTAGACTACCGCAGACATGGGGATGTCCCAGTTATTTCAGCTACTTGGGCTACCGCAGCCATGGGGATATTTCAGCTATCCCAGCTATTTGGGCTACCGCAGCCATAAAGATGTCCCAGCTATTCTAGGCTATCGCAGTTATGGAGATGTCTTAGTGATTTTAGCTATTGGGGCTATCGCAGCTATAAAGATGTCTCAGTGATTTCAGCTAATCGGGCTACCGCAGCCATGAGGTCTCAACGATTCCAGCTATTTGGGCTACCGCAGCCATAGAGATGTCTCAGTTATTTCAGCTATTTAGGCTACCGCAGCCATAGAGATATTTCAGCTATCTCAGCTATTTAGACTACCGCAGCCATAAAGATATCTTAGCGATTCCAGCCATTTAGGCTATCGCAGCCCTGGGGATATCTCGGCTATCGCAGCCATGGAGATTTTTCACCTATTCGGGCCATTTGGGCTATCGCAGCCATAGGGATATCTCAGCTATCGCAGCCATGGGGATATCTCAACTATTCCAACTAATTGGGCTATCGCAGCTATGGGATATCTTAGTTATTTTAGACATTTGGGCTACCGCAGCCATGGGGATATCTCAGTCGAACTACCATTGGCTACCGCAGCCATTAGGATATCCCAGCCATTCCAGCTAATTGGGCTATCGCAGCTATGGAACGTCCTTGTCACTCCGACTATTTGGGCTACCGCAGCCAGGGAGATATTTTATCTGTTCTAGCCATTTAGGCTATTTCATCGGGCGATGACGCATGCGCGTTAAAGCCTTACACCAGATGTGAAGCCCCACCGAGGGCTATAATTCAGGCCAGTCCTTCCGCAGAGGGGCTATAACTTGGTGTTGAGGGTTATTATTTAGATTAGTCCTTCCGCAGAGGGGCTGCATCTTGGTATTGAGGGTCATTATTGAGGGTTATTATTTAGGCCAGTCCTTCCGCAGAGGGGCTATAACTTGGTTGAGGGCTATTATTCAGGCCAGTCCTTCCGCAGAGGGACTGCAACTTGGTGTTGAGGGCCATTATTTACATTAGTTCTTCCGCAGAGGGGCTGCATCTTGGTATTAAGGGTTATTATTGAGGGTCATTATTTAGGCCAGTCCTTCCGCAGAGGGGCTATAACTTAGTGTTGAGGATTATTATTTAGGCTAGTCCTTTCGCAGAGGGGCTGCAATATTAACACGTGACGCCGGCGATTCTTACCGCCTTTCGTCACTTACCCAGCCTACCTATCATTCACTACGGCACCAGCACCTTCCAGCCCGTCCGCGCTAGTGCTACCGGTCCCTACTACTTGCTATAGTAGATACCGTCAGGAGTCCTTCTCGAGACCTTCACCCTCTTTAAACGACGTCTTGGGTTGTTTTAGGAGTTTTTCTAGCGCTGGGGGGCCTTTTTTTAGACTATTTGCATGTCCAGAAAGGTCTCAGCTGCCCCAGTGTTGGATATACCCAATCATCTATCTATATATCTACTTGTGTATGCGTTGTTTTATATATGGCCTCACTATTTGCGAGCACTAATCGCAACAGTGGGACTGTGGGTTAGTGGGTCCATTATGAGGCCATAGCGTTGGTGGCTGTTTGATCAGCCGTCCCATCATTATGCGATATGCGATAGGCGAGAGACAGGTGGACATGGCGAGTACTATTTGTATGGCCACTGCACCTGTAGTGGGCTCTTCATTCGAATTGTTCTCTTTCAGAGCCATATCATTGTTCTCCCTCCCACCCACACCTATATAGCTATAGCTTCATTTTCACTCCAGGGCATGTCGCTTAGACATGGGAGTTTTTCTAGCGCTGGGGGGCCTTTTCTGGACTATTTGCATGTCCAGAAAGGTCTTAGCTGCCCCAGTGTTGGATATGCCCAATCATCTATCTACATATCTACTTGTGCATGCGTTGTTTTCTGTATGGCCTCACTGTTTGCGAGCACTAACATGCTGGCGGGAATCTCAATTTCTCAGCCTTTTGAGGTAGAAATGTTGGCCCGATTTATATATGATTGGATGGGCGTCGTCATTGTGCCCCATGAGGTCTGATATTGAGATAGACCACGGTCTACCCAGCTTAGAGCTAAGTGAGTTCTACGTCGATGCAAGAAAATTCCATTCTCTAGGTCTCTGGCGAGGGTTACAAGGTTGATTAATTATTCTATGGAGCATGGTTGTGAGTGGGTGTTGAAGTTGATGACGGTTTATTGTTTTTCTATGGAGGAGTACTGCTACTTATAGTCCTTCCCAAGCTAACAGGGCTGAGATGCTGAATTCCAACAGTGGGCTTGATATCCTATGTGAAGCCTGTGGCCAAGGGACGCTAGTACAACTTTAACCGTGGCCATGTAACCAATTGCCACCTGACACACCTTCAACATAGCTAACAGTATCGTATGCGCCCACCGCTGACTCTGCCCGCAAGCTACATGTCGGTAACTCTACTCTCGCTTCGCTAGTACTCATTCGGCCTAGTCATTGGTATATGAAGGCCTTCTCTGTACATAGATATCCTTCTTCCTTAGACATCATTAAGAATACCATATCTAGTGATAAGTCTCATTATAGCAGTAACTGCATACCCAGGTATTACCAACACTACACGTGTCTAGTCTGCCACATGGGTGGTATAATGTTATACGCGCCCTTGCAATGAAGTGCCTGCCAATTCTCCCCCTGGTGATCCTTCTCTGGAGCGATCGCTGATGATTAGGATCTTATACTACACGTGGAAATAGTCTCCGTAAACCGCTGTAATATAATGCTTACCGAATCGTGCCATTAATTCGAAGTCTCGCAGCTAGATGAATCTGATTTCCTTTTTGGAAGCTTTGTATGATTTCGCAATCCGTCGTTGACCATTCCGATCCAGAAACTTCCTGACTCCTATTTTTGTTTCGCTACAGCATGCGTAAAGAGCTGGATCCCGAGGAGTTCCTCGAACAATTTTTGATCGTCAATGGTCACACAGCCCTGTCTCACGTCATCTGAAATGTTGAGGCTACTAGTAATCTCGAATCTTTATCCAGAATTTGCCTTTTCAGTGGACGTGCTATGATTTTGAGTTCGGTAGTGTGGTAGATAGCATCAAGCAATACGCCTCTCCATGAGATCCTCACAGCCCACAGCAGGAATTCTTCACTCTTGGTCTGAACCACTTGCGCAAGGAATGTATACAGGAGTCCCTGGGCCCGAGCTTTATTGGGACTGAGTCCGAAGAGACTACTTGGAGCACCGAATCGGGATATAGAAGACCTTTCCTCTGCAGTGGGTTTGGATCATGTCGATCACAGACCATCTTAATGCTGTTTTACTCAAGTAAAAGGTGAGTCTGTCTCAGACATTACCGGGGTTGGCTTAAAGGTGGAACTTACTCTGAGTTCAATCTGTAGAAAGGTATTGTACCGTTAGCAATTGACTCTGGCGTGGAGCCTAGTCTTGCAGTGTATCCTCCTTACCCTTTGGTCCTTGAAAAGGTTATAACAGGCTGTTGACAATTCCACTCTGTCTGCTCCTTCAGCTGATTACGCATATTAACCGTTTGCATTGCACAGGGTACGTTGCAAGTTATAGCAGTTAAGGAGCCCAGTAGCAATTGATATTGTCGCAACACAACCACGCGCACTGTATCATTATACCAGGACAGGCGTGAAGGCGTACCATGAACATCGCATTCAAGGTCAAAATGGTTTCGGGTGCAGTCTCAGGACTTCCGCTTCCAGAACAGGGTTTCTTGAACCACCAAGTCACTGGCTTCTAGACTCCATTGTTTTGTTTGTCACTGGCTGAGACGGTCTAATACGGCCATCGTGGCACGATTTCTAAAGAATGGTTTGACTATTGTTTGAGAGTCTCAGACATTCGATATCGATTGCCTCAGCGGGAGATGGTATTTCTTTGAGCGCTTTGGGACTGTCTCAGAAATTTTGAGGTTTCCTGCGCGATACTTAAACCAACAGAACTCCCAGCAAAATAGCCTTGTTTTCAGTTACTGCATCATGGCAACTAGAAGTCAAATACTACCACAGTCACATGACCAGACTGACGAAACCTGGCTGAGTGTTCTCATGGCCTAGATTCCATCTCAATATAGATGGAAATCCGCTAAACAATACCCTTCGAAGTATCGTCAGGAGTTGCATCTCGCATTACAAAGACTTGCCATTCCTCCAAACCTCCCTAACCAGAAGCTTTTCAAAATCACCACATCCGCAGGCAAGGGTCAAGGCTGGAAAGCCCTCAAAGACATTCAGCCAGGCACCCCTTTACTTGACGAAGAAGCACTCTTCTGGGTGCCGGATGATACAACTGTCGACGAGACCTTTGATCGCTTCGAGGGCTTCTCGACACTTAGCTGTCCAAATCCTGCTACTCCTCAACGCCGCTTTGAAGTGAATAGCTTCGCGATGGGCAAAGACAGACGGCAAAAGACTAGATCGGGAATCTTTTTGCTAGCGTCTCGGATCAATCACTCGTGCATACCAAATGCATACTGTGCATGGAATTCGGATCTGGGCAAAAAGGGCCGACTCACAGTATATGCAATTGTGTATATACCAAAGCATGCTGAGATTCTTATCGACTACTGCTATCCGGATTCATTGAAAAGCAGGGACCAACGCCACCAAGGTCGTAGCAACTATGGGTTTACGTGCACCTGTACAGCTTGTCAGTCGAATACAGATTCTGGCACGGAGAGTCAGAACAGCCGACAGATAATGGGTAACCTCGAGAGCCAGATCGATCAGCGAGTGCCACAAGACAACAATGAGGAACTCACTCCACGATCTATACCGACTCAGTGAACTACTGGAAGAACAACGCCTTTTCTACTCACAGCTGGCAGATGTGTATCACCAAATTGTTTTGGAGTTGAGGAGGAAGGTGCAGCGTGTTGCCGGTATTAGCGTGTGTGAAACGTTGGATACTTGGTTGAGATTATATATAATAAAGTGTACTGAATAGATGAATCTTTTTTGTTCTACACCTTTTTTTTTTTGAAGTTTTTATCTCGCTTGCGATCTTGTTTTTCTTAGTATTTCGAAATGCCTCTTAATCGACGGTGGGTCGCCCCTTACTATCGATAATATAATATGTGATATTGTATCTAAGCATAGAGGATTCTTATCTTTATATCGTATTATATATAATTAAAGGTTTTATGGGCCTTTAGTGAGCTTTAGTGATTTAGTTTTATCTTATAGCGATGACGGCTTTAATCTTTAAATATGTGGTAATTGTTTGTTTTAAACTCTCTAATTGTTTTGGTTTTTTTTTTTTTTCGTTTAAGATATTTTGTTATTATCGTTACGAGAGTTTTGAATATAGAATTGACTAGCGGTTATGGCTTAATATAATAGGGGTGGTTGATTAAGATTCATCTTTGTACTACTTTGTGGTTTGTTAACTTCTTATTATATCACAGGGTATGAGAAGACGTTTCGCACAGAGGCATTGCAAATTGCGAGGAAGAAGCTAGATCTGGATGTGAAGTGCAATGGGCATCATTCGCGCGAAGTCAAAAAAACGTTGAAGTTCATTCGTGAATTGTGCTAGGAGTGCTGGGTACTTTGGGACGGTAGAATTGCGCGGTAACATGGTGTCTGCTCATGCTTATGGCGCGACTTGTACAACAAGTTTGGATAGTCGGGCATGCTGAGTCTTTGTCAGTCATCATTGGGACTTTTAGCGGGAATTGGCAGCAGATCAAACCCCAAGCCCACTTCATCCATCAGATTTACTCGATTGAGCTTCGACGTCTTTTGAAATCAAACACTGGGTTTATGCAGCAGGATCGTGACTTTGACATCTGGAAAATGTGAAGGTGTCATCATTACATTATATTAATGCTAACTCAATGGCGGTTGTATAAACCGCAGGATAAGAATACAGGAAATCACATACCCCAGAGCGCCAAAATTCATGGTAGAACTCGCGGAACCATCTCCCATAGACGATTTTGTATGATGTAAGATGAAACAGGGTCCCACCACTAACCCTAGAAAGCCCGACAGTTTTCATTGCATCGATGGTCAGAGACGACACATAGAGTGCTCGTAGTCATCAGTAGATGCCCTTTTGCATTACCAAGTTTTGACATTGATGGCACTCCCTGACGAAAGAGCGCCTCGTTCCAAAGACCACTAAGGGGCTTTCACTGGCTATTCCTTGTTCCCGTTGACTTCCTCACAGACCTGAGATAATGTCGTTTGCTGGCAGTACTCCGTAAAAGATTCACAGCTTGCATCAGCCTTGGCGAAGGGTAATTGGACTGGAAGGTCTGTGAGTCTCAAGATAGTTGTTGGAAGTGTGTAAAATGTCGTCTGTGAAGTCAAGCTGCTCTTCGTTTCTGTACTCCAAGGCTTCAAATTTCTTGCCATTCCACATGTATGCAACTCCGGTCAAAGAGAGAGCGCTGCTACAGGCTTGTGGTTTGCGCGCCAGGCCATTGTGAACCATAAACCTGTTCTGAGCAAGCCTGAAGTACTTATAAATAAGGTGACGTTCAATAAAACGCCGGACAGCGAAGTGAACAATCAAATTACCTCGGCCGTGAAGCGTGGCCTCATCTCGAAGTTTATGTGTTTCGATCATTGGAAAGTTTTTGGAAGAGGTGTACGGGAGTTAAGCGGAGGAACTGATGAGAACGAATATAGAATACCTTAACTGGCCGTGTTGAGCGTTATGTATGCCTAGGATGAGGGTATGCTGATGAATTTTTTGACCACCATCACTCGAAATGAAGAATCATCCTATCTAAAGGCGTATATAGAGCAGTAGTGGCAGAATCTTATGAATTGCAGATTTGAGTGAATTTAGTTGGTTGACATTCAACGAGCGGGGGTGTGCATGAGCAACCCCTAATAAAGCATTGGAGGGAATTTGGGCGTTCTTTTAATACTTCGCACGGCCACGATGATCGAAGTATTAATAGAATAGAAACCCTTAGATGGCTCTCATAAACCACCAGGGATGCAACAGTTACATGCTCATGTGTCCGAAGCGTGATCGAGTCATCGAGTTCCGCGCCTTTGAGCTCAACATCAATGTTGGAATCTGCTGCAGTACTATGTGTTGTAGCTTTATATGGTATATAAGTAATCTTAATATCATTCCATAGCTAAATAATTCATAACATCTCTTCAATTCCAACAATTAAAGGGATTAATGAGGAAAAAAATATACGGAGACCTCGTCGCCAATACCACTCACCATCACGACTTCATTTTTCCGTTCTACACGTACAACATCCTGCCCGGCCAACTTTATGTCTGGCAAAAAGCTCTACGAAGCTCGTTCCCCCTGGAAGCGGGAAAAGAGAACCATCATCGGCCTAGCAAAGTTTATCGCCTCTGCATCGCACCTTCCTTACTCCAAAGAACATTACGAGGGTAGCAATTAGACCCGAGTCTGCCAATGCAGCTATACAGCGCCTAGAGCACAATGACTCTCCGAGACAGATGGCTCCTGAAATTCACACTCTGATTGCGTCTCTCAGCACAAGGCTCCACCTTCTAGACACTTTGCCTGGAGTCTTGACATACTTGCATCTTGCCGGCCACAGCATGTTCGTAGACAAACATGCTGACACCCTCACCGGGGTAATAGATTTCGGGGAAGCCCGCATTGAGGCCTTCGGCATCAACATTTTCGCTCTCTACGAGAACCATGTCGGCGGTATGGAGAACGGGCATTGGTCTCCCTACAACAGGCCAGCAGGGGAGCAGTATCCAGGACTGTCTGTGAGCGATATTTTGACAAAGGCGTTCTAGGATGCTCTGTGGGTATGTACGGCTCCTGGTCTGCAAGGAAAAAGGCTTCGAGGAGGCGGTGGGTGTGGCATTGAGAGTGAAGATCATCAACCGCTACTTTGTGAGGGGTATTTTTTAATAAAACTGATCTCCGAAAACGGGTGCATGTAGTCCTATTGGACTATGCGAGTGGGATCTTGCTCCATCTCAGGGACACAAGAAAGAAGCTACGGCATTTTGCACAACAATTAGTAGACTAACCTTGAAATTCCTATGTCACTTTCAATTAAGAAGAGAAAAGTTCGAAGATAACGCCCCCCCTCAATCCTCACGCCGAATGAGAAAGCACCCATCCCTGGCCCACAACATACCCGCGTAGACGCGTAGGTGTCTCGCGGCAAGCTATATCACAAACTAGAAAATCACTCCATACAATAAGACTGAGCCTCCAAGGAGTTCTCCCCAACCTAACCATAATCTCCTCTGTGGCATGGCTACGACTGTAAACTCACTCGCCTTCCACTTAGAAGCAGCACACAGAAGTGCCGTGTCGTCGGAGATTTTTAAGGTACGGGAATTTCAAAATGGAGACGCGTGACAACGATCTGATCTTTGACTGTTAACACATTCACTCTTCTTATATCTCAACACCCCGGGCATCAACCTTTCACCAAGCGACGACACCCACGATTTTACTCCGTACGATAATTCATCACCAAACAACCATCGCCCTCAATCACCCAGACTCCTTCAAAAATCCTCCTTTCAGAAGAACATCGTCATCACCACCGCCGCGAATATTGACAAGGAAGCCAGAACTTCAGTCATACCCTCTAGCTTGTCCTTTCAGATCAGAATGGTTATCAAATTCCCTTCGGGACAAGTCTCTATCAACATTCGAGAACTACGAAGCAACCCATACAGTCAGTTGACTTGCGGAGTGTGCGACAAACCCTGGATTATCGGGTCTGATGGGTGCATCAAGAAACAGCTGCATGTCCTTCATCCATGTCAACACCTTGTCGGGTCAGGGTGTTGGAGTTCCCTACCAGATGAGCACAAGGACAAATGCCCTGTGTGCAAAGTTGGGATTCGGTGCAATGAGAAAGTGCGTGTACACTCGCATGCCGTACACGTCGTTCCAGCGAGCCATATTTTAGTTGCCAAGAGCTCCGGGTTAGAGAAGGAAAAACCTCTCGGCCAAGCACAGCACGTAATCGTGGAGAATGTGGAGAATAAAATGAAAGTGGGCCTCAATGATGTCGACGTTAGGGCAATCATGTACTACATGAACCTTCGTGCTCGTCTCGATGCGGTCAAAGACAATCTCTGCACGTTATCAGCTTCAATCAAAACTCTAACACCCACACACCGAGAACGCCTGGTCCTCTTTCTTGCCAACACACCGCAAAACAACCAAGACAGTATGCAACGAAAAGTCGAAGTCGCTCTGTCTGCTTTCAACATCAGTGGCGGAACTAGCTTTACTATGAATGATCTTAGAAAGATATTGTCTTCGGCTGAGGAGTGGATTAAGAAACATTTCGCTGCCATTCTCAAGGACAATGAGCAAGCAAGCAGGGAGGCTTCCTCAGTCAGAATTCTGGAAAAGAGACTCGCGGATGTTGAGGCCGAACTCAAAGAGCTTAAGGACCGGCAGTCTCGAGAGAGTGGGCAGCAACTGAGAGATGAAATCCAGTTGGCCACTGAAGAAATTATAAAAAAAGCCAACGAGGAGCTTGCGAAGGTCTTCGCCAAAGCTGAAAAGGAAGTGGTGGAGATTTGTGCCAAGGCCAAGGAGGAGTACCACGAAGCTAGAGAGTTTTGGGAAAGCGATGAAGAAGTAGAAGGGAGCGGACGACGTCGTGCAACTTGAGATTGGATAACAGCAGACTATCACAAGAAATGGAGTAGGAGATAATTTGATACACGACCACTCTGGAACTAGGTTACCCGCAGTGGGAGGGATTCGGATCGATGAATTTCATCGACGGCACGTCAAGTCTTTCTCCAACTGTTGCCATTGATGGTAAGAGGGGCTCCGGTAGGTCTTCTGGCAGATTTGTACCTAGAGACATTCAGTTTCAAATGAAATATGAGAGACATGGAACCTTACATAGAGGCAAACATAGCAGCGACAGCCAACTTGCTGCAAAATGCTGAAGGGAGCTATTTTTAACGTGTACTTTGGTGATATGAGAACGTTGCTCGGGAGAGTCTGGATTTATCCGCTTCAGAAGTCTTCATATTAACGGCATGGATGAAGGCTGACTGCGATGGTATGAGTAGTAACGATCAAGAAGTTATACAGAAACTCCTGCGGTCAAAGTATAGGCTCCCAGCCATCCCAGTCACCTCGTATGACAAGATCCCTAATTTAACGCTGTAAATATCTCATCCATCCTTCATAATTTTCAATACCTTCCCGAAATCTGAAATGAAGGCTCGCGTATCAGATCTCTATATGATGAGAGATGTCCTTATGCATACCGCAGATTCCAGCCACCGTGGAGACTCGGTAGAAGGAAGAAGAAGTTGTCCGGGATGTCTTGTAACAGAGTGATGTCTTAGGTAGCAGGTAAAGTTGGTCTGCTTAGATCTAGAAAGGGCCTCGAATATCTAACATTGGTTGATTGACTTCGCTGATACTGCTGGGTGTTTCCCATCCCAGTACACGCCCAAATATTTAAAAAATACTCCTAGAATGTCTCTATAATACGATCTTATTTTACACTATAGCTACTTATACCCTATATACTGTTACTATTTTCGAAATATTCTTCGCTTACAATCTTGCCAAGACTCTCCGGGGATGATTAGTAAAACCGCCCTGCCGACCTTAAAGTGATGTCCATCCTGCCAGGTGTAACCTCACACGCAGGGACGTCAGCAGTGCAAATGATGATTGGATAGCTACATCCTTCCTCCAATACATCAAGTTCGTGGGTTACCCTATTGTTGTGCCTGTGTAATCCGTACCTACGTTTTCTATGGGGATGCAAAACATTTGGGCACGTATTTCCATGCATTCATTTGGGCCGTATCGCCAAGTCTGACGTAAGATTCTAGCGTGGGCCAATGAAACAAGCCTCAGTACTCCGTACTCAGACTCTACATTTTTGGGGGGCCGGAACATTATATTGCCGAGCCGATTCCGTCATACCCCCCTGTAGCCAATGAAACAGAAAACGTTTGTCAGCGCGTCGGCGGCATTGAGAAACAGCAAACTCCGTTTCTCCGTTTCTCCTCCTCCCATCTTTCAATATTTATTCTCCTTTCGAAAAGCAAATACAGAATACGAAATCCAACAACATCGGACATCTCGTCCATATTCATTGATTGCCTCGTCACTTGACCAGACCATCCCCTCCAAGTCAAGGGCCGACTTGGTACGATTCGCAAGCAATCACGCCTTAAGTCGCTCGAAAAGGTAAAATCAATTCATGCAATCATGGAGTCGATGCCAGCGCCGACTGCTGGTGCTCCATCCCGGTACGGTCGGGCCTGCTCAAATTGCGCTCGAGCGAAAGCAAAGTGTGATACAGGTAATGGCGTCGGTGCCAAATGCGGAAGGTGTCTTGTGTGCCTAATTCAATGATTATAACTCATCAAACTGACACAATATAGGTGCCTTAGGCTGAACAAAGACTGCCAACCCTTACAGACTGTCCATAAGCGCAAGAAGGTCAATAAGCCATCGAGTACCAAAACCGACAGGCTAGAAGGAAAGCTTGATGGGTTGTATAGGCCCTTGCAATCGTCTACTGCTTCCACATCGATAGCCAGCCAAAGTGCCCCTGTATCAACCGCATCGACTTCGACTGAGCCGTCCTCGGACTCATGGCAATCTCTTGTTGCTAGTCCGGAGGGTGAAGGGGACTTTGGTCCCCGCTCAATCCAACGGCTGAACTGGAACCGTCCCTCGATGGATGGCCTTCGCCTTCATTCGCCCACCTCTGACCCAGATGCTTCGTACGTAGCTTCAGGCACAAGGTCTACGATATACCAATGCCCCCAAAGTTCGCTCGTCCGCTGTCTTGAACCATCATCTGAGGAAGCAGAGGAGTGTCTCAATCTATTTCGACCCTATATGGCAACCTACTTCCCTTTCATCATTGTACCAGAGTCTACTACCGCCCGTGAGCTTCGTCGTGACCGTCCATTCTTGTGGCTTTGTATAATGTCGATCGCATCAAGATCTACGGTGCAGCAAAAGGCCCTTGCAACAGAGATAAAGATAACGATGGGAAGGGAAATACTTGTGGAAGGTAGAAACAATATCGACTTACTCTTGGGTATTCTCGTTTTTGTAGCATGGTACGTAATTTTCGAATCATAGGCGAGCATGTGCTAAAGTTGAATACTTCTGTGGTTCAGGGGCCATTACCACATTCACGATAAACTCGTAATAATTCAAACCACCCAGCTTGCCATGGCCTTGGTCGGTAATCTTGGTTTGAATAAGCCACCGCTCAAAGAACCGACCCAGATGTTGCTGAACCTCGACGCGCGAGGATGCCCGAGAAAACCCTTCACGCCATCAGCACGGACAGTGGAGGAGCGGAGAGCAGTACTCGGCTGCTTCCTACTCAGCTCAGTGTGCGGAACCTCACCCACACCTGGTTGCAAGCGTAGAGATGGCTAACAAGGACTAGTGTCTCGTCGTATTTTCAGCGACTTGACGCTCTTCGCTGGACTCCATATCTAGATGATTGTCTTGTAGTGCTAGCCGAAAACAAAGAGCACCCGACCGATGCACTTCTGATTGACCTGGTGCAACTGCAACTCATCGTCGAACAGCTGGGTCAAGCTCCAGGATATGCGGGACATGACGATTCCACCAGCTCCGCGAAGGCGCCACCAATGTTCTATCTGAAGGCACTACAAGCGAAATTGCAAGACTTCAAAGTGAAAGTCCCCCCTAAGACTCATAGAGATGGTAGGAGAATACCTTAGATCGTCCCATGATACGCTTACAAACGGCTTTACAGATGTCTTGCTCTTACATCTCTACAGCACAGAGCTTAAAGTACACGAAATTGCCTTCTCGAAAGCACCAGTTGTGCTCAATAGTCCAGGCTTCCAAAGGCTCGATGCTCTCTACGCATGTCTATACGCAACCAAAAGCTGGTTTGATCTATTCCTCACCATCTCTCCAGCTTCCTTCGCCGGCTTTTCTATCCCCATCTTTACGCAAATGGCCCATTGCATCATAGCCCTTTTCAGACTGCTCACCTTCGACGATCCAATTTGGGACAGAGGACTCGTACGGGACACAGCAAATCTCTCTCTCATTTTGGGACATATCATGGAGAAATTAAGTCAAGTTAAAGTGGTGAGGGATCTGGATCGTGGTGTGTCAGAAGACAAGGACATCTTCAGTGGGACAGCTCGGGGTCTCGGGTCTATCAGAACCTGGTGGGACGCTAAGTCAGCTATGGAGGTGAGCGACAACATCGTCCTAAATAAGACACGGGGTGAAATGTACATGGACTTTTCAGACGATGTCTGGCTGAAAGACATATTTGGTCAAGGAGATGGCCAACTAGACCTAAATATGCAGTGGTCGAATGCTGGAAGCAGAAGTTGAGGAACAGTAGACAGGTTTGTTGAAATGTGGCTCCCGCGCATTCCAGCCACCATGTTTTCCAGCCACCTGATTTTGTACTGTATTTAGGACCTGGCCCCGGAGAGGTTTTAAAGAATCAATCCGTCCGTTCTATATACTATATACCTGAAATTCTAATAGGTTATAAGCCCGGTTCTAACGCTGCTATTATACCTCGCTGCTATCATATTATTCTACTACCATACTACTACCGTATCTTATTCTACTACTATATCTTATTCTACTACTATATCTCGCTATTACTATAAGTCTAATCTATAGAATATATAGACTAAGTCGCTATAATGCTAGCTTTCTATAAGATTAATTTAGATATAAAGTTATAACCCTCGTTATAAAGAATCCTCGTTATAAAAAACCCTCGTCGTTATAAAGAATTCTCGTCGTTATAAAGAATCCTCGTCGTCGTAAAAAACTCTCGTTATTATAAAGAACTCTCGTTATTAAATAATAAGATAGTAATAAAGAGAAATATCGCGAAGGATTATAAATAATAGAGATACGTATTAATATAATATATAAGTTCTATATAGAATAGCTATATTACTTTAAAATAAAGTATTACTCTTATTATCTAAAAAGAATATTATACTTTAAAGATATATTATATTATTCTAGAAAGAAGTATTACGTTAAAAAGACGTATTATCTAAAATAGATATTAAATATTATATTAGAAAGACGTGTTATACTAGAATAATATATATTATAACTAAAATAATCTATCGTTATTAAAAAACTAAAATAGTCTCTTATTAAAAGGCTGAAATAGCCTCTTATTAAAAGGCTGAAATAATCTATAAAAGACTAAAATAGCCTCTTATTAAAAGGCTAAAATAGCCTCTTATTAAAAGGCTGAAATAGCCTCTTATTAAAAGGCTGAAATAGTCTATAAAAGGCTGAAATAGCCTCTTATTAAAAGGCTAAAATAGCCTCTTATTAAAAGACTGAAATAGCCTATAAACGACTAAAATAGTTTATTATTACGGCTAAAATAGTCTATTATTATTACGACTAAAATAGTCTATTATTATTACGACTAAAATATACTAGTCGAAAAGATATAATATAATATAAGATATTAATCTATTATATTATACTCTAATATAATATAAATTATTAAGATTTATAGAATTCTATATCTAGTATAATATAAAATCTTAACGATATATATTACGATATAATATATTTATAGAATTATATTATAATATAATATATATATAAAATATCTTAATTAGAATTTCTATATTTAGAAGTAGCTATTCTAATTATTATTCTAATTAATAATTACGCTAAATTAATAAGATATAGAATTAAATACGATTATATTTTATTACTTTATATATATAAAAGAAAGCGAGTTATATCTACTAGTAATAAGAAAAGCTTATCTTTCTCTAATATTAGTCGCGCGAAATCTATCGATACTTTATAATTAAAGTTATCGACGATAATTTTATACGCTTATTATATATTTTCGATATCGCTATCTAATATAAAATTATACGTATTATAATTATAGTCTTTCTATTAAATCGCTAATTTAGAAAAGTTAATATATCTCTTAATATCCTCTTAAAAGTATTATAGCTTAATATAATAAGTTATATTTCTTTAAATTATCTTCTCGCGATATATAAAAAAAAGATTAGATATAGAAAGTATATAAAAGTATATTTAATAATTCTAGAATAGATTAATAATATTTATAATAATAATTAAAATTAAAAATTAGATATACTCGAATAAGAGATAACTTTATATTACTCGTATAACAGCGATAATAATAGCTAAGATTAAAATATCGATTTAGATAGCGTAGTTTTTATAATAAGCTTTTTATTACTATACGCTAGATTAATTATATATAAATAAAGATTTATAATTCTATCTTTTAGACGTAATTATATTTAATATTTTAAGATTTTTATAATAGCTCGATATTTATTAACTAGCGCGTTAATATTAATATATCTAAATTACGATAGCGCTTATTATTAAGTTCTATATTATACTCTTAAATAATTTAAAAAATAGAATCTACTTAATTATTAACGCGTATAATAGAATTATTCTTAATACTTATATTTTATTTAGCTTTAATATCATTTATTTTCTCTTAATTCGAGCTTCTATCTTTATCTATATATATAATAATTTACGTAATAAACGAAACTCTAAACTTCTTTATAATTATACTCGCGTGTTTTTTTTATATAATACTATTAAAACGTAAGTTTATTAGAATAATAATTAGAACTAGAAACTACTTATCGCTTATCTATTATATCTTATCTAATTTACTTAAAAGTTTACTTCTATTATAATAATAATATATCGATATATTTAACTTTATACTTTTTAATAATTATAATATAGTTAATAGCTAAGATATCGACTTTCTTTATTTTCTTAATTAGCTTCTCTTTAGATATAAATATATTTATTCGCTATCGCGATCTTTTAGTATTTTTATTTTAATTAAATTTATTTTTTATTTTTTATTTTAATTAAGAGTTTAGTTATCGTCTAACTAACTTATATTAAAACTTTTTAATATCGCTATCGTTATTAATATTTAATATTTATTATAATAAATTATTAGACTTAGTCTTTTCTACTTTAATTATTATAAAAAAATAAATTAATAAATATATATAAAAGAATTAAAGGGCTTATACGAATATCTATAAATACTAAGCTATTCTTAATTTTAATCAAAGCGTATTTTATTAAAAAGTGCGTTAATTCTAGTAAGTATCGATATTAGAAATAAAGAGGATATATATCGCGTATTATTATAAGTGTATTATTATAGAGTTTAACTTAAAGAATAATTATTTCTATAAAGATAGTAAGATTTAAAGATAAGAAAGTAAGAATAAAATATATGAAAATTTTAATAAGTTATAGTAGTTTAATATTAGCTAAACTAGATAAAAATAATCGCTTACTAGCTCGCTCTTTTAAATCTTTTATCTTTTAATTTATATAGATTATAATAATAATTATAATTATTATAAAAGTAGTTAAGATTATATTAGATAATAACGCTTAATAAGCGTAATTCGCTTAAATTTAAATCTTTAAAATTAAAAAGAAAGCGCTTTATTAATATTTAATTTAAGCTAAATAATATAAAGTAATCTAAAAATTTAGTATATACGATAGATATCTAAACTTTTCTTCCCCTCTTCTTTCTCTCTAAGACTTTTTTTTTATATTAATTCTTTTTATTATTAAACTATCTTCTTTATATATTAAACTTTTATTTAAATAATTTAATATTATTATAGCGATATTAAAAGTATAACGTAGTTATTAAGTTATATATTTATTCTTTATCTTTTAATAATTTTAAATTAATACGTAGATAGGTTACGCGAAGAGCTTAATTTATATACGCTTAATCTATCGTTAATAGCTCTTCGAAAAAGTTAATACTATTCTAGAGTGCTAGATATAGCGTTAGAGTAAAGTCTTTATTAGATATCGCTATCGCTTTAATCGCTATCGCTATTACTTTAATAGATATCGCTTTTACTTTAATAGATATCGCCTTTATTTTAATAATATTAAGACGTTAATAGAAATTAGATAATATATTTTTTTAGTTATTATTATACTTATTATATATAATTAACGCGAGCTATAGCTTAAGCTTTACGCGAGATTTATTATTATTAAAAATTAATTAATCTTATAATTTTAAAACTCTTTTTCTAACGTCTAGTTTATTAGATTATACTTAATTAAAATCTATTAAAGCGCTATCGCATTTAAAGATTCGCTTTTAAAGTATTATATAAGATAATAGAAGTCTTTCTAGTTTATTAATTTAAAAGTAAATCTTCTATTACTACGCTTTATAATTAGCTCTAATAATTTCTATTTAAATAAATATTTATCTTTATATAATATATAAAAAGCGAGTTATATTATAGAAAAAGAATCTAGATCTCGCGATTATTTTAATTAAGTTATTTAAATTAAAAATAAAAATATATTTATCTTTATATAATTTAATTATTAAATTAATTAATTATTATAAATATAACTATAAGATATAATTATATATTATTAATTATTTAAGTAATTAAAAGAAGCGTAAAAGAAATAAAATTATGCAATTAAGTACTTATAAACTTTTCTCTTCTAAATATTTATTTTAATTTAGAGTTTAATCACTATCTAATTAAAAAAAAGATAAGATATAGAAAATATATAAAAGTAAATTTAATAATTCTAGAACGAATTAATAATATTTATAATAATAATTAGAATTAAGAATTAGATATACTCGAATAAAAGATAGCTTTATATTACTTATATAATAGTAAGAATAATAATTAAGATTAAAGTATTAACTTAGATAGTATAGCTTTTATAATAAATTTTTCATTATTATATATTAAATTAATTATATATTAATAAAGATTTATAATTTTATCTTTTAGATATAATTATATTTAATATCTTAAAATTTCTATAATAGCTTAATATTTATTAGCTAACGCGTTAATACTATTATATTTAAGCTACGATAGAGCTTATTATTAAATTCTATATTATACTTTCGAGTAGCTTAAAAGATAAAGTCTATTTAATTATTAGCGCGTATAATAGAATTATTCTTAATACTTATATTTTATTTAGCTTCGATATTATCTATTTTCTTCTAATTCGAGCTTTTATTTTTATTTATATATATAATAATTCACGTAATAAATAGAACTCTAGATTTTCTCTAAATTACGCTTATATATTTTTCTTATATAATATTATTAAAATATAAGTCTACTAGAATAATAACTAGAATTAGAAATTACTTATTATTTATCTATTATATTTTATCTAATTTTCTTAAAAGCTTACTTCTATTTTAATTATAATATATTAATATATCTAGCTTTATACTTATTATAAGCTATAGTATAGTTAATAGCTAATATATCGACTTT